GTCAGAAGAACAATGTACAACAAATCAGCTTCCTTTATATCTCTATGCTACATATTAACTATTAAGTCAGCAGGTTCCTCAAGATTATTATTAACTGTCACTACTATTGTAATTTTGGACTACAACATTTGAAATTTAGCATCCCTGAGTAAATGACAGTAATACTAAACAAATCTATAGACCTATAAATGTGTATTTTCCCCTTAATTTTGATGCAGGATGCTAAGTGAAAGGAGATCTTTTATTGGTCTTACTTTCCAGGCGGGCCCAAGTCACCCATGATATGCATGGTCTGCATGGAGTTATTCACCACCCGGCTGGTCTTCACAAACTCCTCTGTGGGATCCCAGTTGATAATTCTTGATTTAGGAATACTACTATCCCTTAAAAAATAAAAAGCCAGTTTATTGTAAGACAGAATTGTCTTCTTATTTTTTTTCAGATAAATGTTGAAGCATAAGCTGGAATTTCTCCTACATAGTTCGCCTCTCCTGCCGTCTGTGTCTGACGCTGGCCATCCTTTCGGCCAGGAAAGTGGGCCTTGATTTGGTGGTGGAGACCAAGTCATTGTGCTGCTTTTAAGACAAAATAACAAACTTAATGTCTGCATTACAGAAACCATTTGTCAGTCAACTACACTTAACTAATAAACAAAGTGATAGAGGTGACACAATCTATGTCTTAAATCAAAACTATCAATAATAAAACAGTCAAAATTAATTTTAACCATCATTTAAAATATTACTTAATTCATGGAGAAAGCACTCTTTTGGGTCCATTAAATAATTCATTTACCAGTTGGTGAAGTGGAAGGAAGTTTGTGTAGCGGTCATGATCGGTGTAGGTAAAAATCCTCTGATTGCGTCGGCCCTTCTTGTTGAAGGCCCGGATTTCTGTGTGGTACTGGCGATCCAGAGGGGTTTGACAGGCCGCCTCGTTCTGATACAGCTCCACTTCATACTGTAGTCGCAAGCACAGAAAAATGAGAGGGGAAAGTCATTAAAACATACGGTAATTAAATAAGGAAACTGCATACTAACAGCATACTAACATATCTGCAGGCATATATATTTAAATATACACTTTAACAATACCTCAAAAACCCAAGAAATGACAAAATAACAGAATTTTTTTTGTAAAATACATTTAAAAATTGCAACTCTGGAGAGAATAAATCAGGCGAGTCCCACATTTATTGCTCAAGTTACTCACCGCCATGCGATCCGGTACCCATGATTAAAAAGCCATTACTACAACCCTGTTATAACTTCAGGCATTTAGTCTGGTTTGGTTCTTGCTTCTAAACTGAGATTGAGCACTAAGGTGTGCTTGAAAGAGCTACATTATATTTGCTCGCCCATCCAAATGACAGGAATCAGGTATTCTACCACTTCCATGACCACAGATGTATAAAATCAAGCTCCTAGCCATACAGACTGCTGTTACAAGCATTAGTGAAACCATCAGCTATATCATGAGTAAATGGAAGTGTTGGGGAACAACATTGACTCAGCCATTAAGTCGTGGGCCATGTAACTGATGAAGCAGCGTTAGTGGATGCTAAAGCACAAAGAGGCTGTCAACTTTCTGCAATGTCGGTCCCTACATACCTCCAAACTTCCTTTGGCTTTCAGATTAGCTCTAGAACAGAGAGCTCCAATGGGTTTCTATGGCCCATCAGCTGCATCCAAGCCACACACCACCAAGTGCAATGCAAAGCTCCCGATGCAGTGCTGTAAAGCACAGCACCACTGGACCCCAGAGCATTAGAAACACATTATCTGGAGTGACGAATCATGTTTCTCCATCTGGGAATCTGATGGAGGATCCTGAGTTTGGCGGTTCCCTGGAGAATGGTACTTGTCTGACTGCATTGAGCCAAGAGTAAAGCTTGGTGGGGGAGGGATGATGGTGTGGGGTTGCTTTTCAAGAGCTGCTTTATCATGTTTTTTATCTTTATTTGCTTTTATTCACATTTTATTTTATTCTACTTTATGGTGAAATTCATGTAAAGCATGCTGAATCATCCTTGTACTGAATTATGCTATACACATTAACTTGCCTTGCCTTACTGCCAAACCTGCCAGATTACTATCCTCTATTAAATTTATAGTGTATTATCTGGTGCTTGAGGGAAAATGGGGAAATTATCTGCAAAATATTAGAATACCTGTGTGAAAATGTAATGAGTAGAAGTCAGAAGTAGAAAAATAAGTAATGGAATAAAGTATAGATACCTAAAAAGTGTACTTAAGTACAGTAACAAAGTATTTGTACTTCGTAATTTGACACCTCTGTATAGGACCAGTTTGATATAACACAATTTCATACAATATATATAATTAGGGGGGTCTCCGCTCCAACTCCCCATTAGTTTGGGGGTCCTTAGCCTGGAAAACTTTTAAGACCCCTGATTCATAGCATTTGTCCAACTACCATAAACAGCAATTAACCCTCTTTTACTGCAGCTGTTTGTTATTTAACCATCGGTGGGACAAACCCACAGTTTTTTTTTACCTGACTGAAGAGTTTCTCTTGCCAACCAACCACCACCTCCTCTTCATTATCACCTGTCAATAGAAACAAGAGAGATGACAAACTACTTAAATCCATTCATTTTTTTTTTCAAGATGGTTTTGAGGTATATCTAAAGTGACAAAAAGATCTTGTAATGCATCTTTAGTCATCTCCCTTCAGTACTTATTGTACCTGAGTGGTCCTGTGATCTGAGCGTCTCCAGCTCGATGTCCCCCTTTGCTTTCTGGGACAGAACCTGATGCTGGAGGTGCTGAGATATGTCAGCTGTTGAAGTCACCCGCTGGATACGGACTCTGGAGGTGGATGCCATATGCACCGTTATCATTCACATTAAGCTATCTTATTCCAAATGAAACTGTTTAACAGCGTTTTACTTACTTTATTTTTAAGTTTTTCACGGCATCCCGGGAGCGATAAACTGCGTCCCCAGTGTCTGTGTTCCAGCGCTCTGCCATTTATTTAGCAAACATTCACAGACACGCGCCTCGGGTTCGCAGCTACGCTAGCTTGCTCAAATATATCAATAAATAAATAAAATAACTCAACACTTGAGAAGCAGAAACATCTTATAGCAAAGCATACCGTTTAGAATAACACTGTGAAGAAACGACATCAATATAAAACTATAAAAAGACACCACAAATAAGAAAATTACATTCCGCTTGTTTAGCACAGAACAGGAGAGGAGAGGACAGTTGTCGTTTCCATGGAGATTTGTTCTGTTATTTTATGCCACTGGCACAGCAGCTATAAAGGATCATTACCGCCACCAAGTGGACTGAAGTGTGAACAGGAAAAACAGAAAAGAAAAAAAATGAAAGAAAAGGAACAAAACTAGATTTTTACTCATATCAATTCTAAAAATAATAATAATAATAATAATAATAATAATAATAAAAACACTTTCAGTTGTAGAATAAAATTATTCTGTCCTTTTTGAATGGTTTGTAATGTGCTCTTTTGTCTGTATGCATTGCACCTCATGGAAACATGCACAGATTCAAGTAAAATTGCTTTAAATTAAATAAAATTTTAAAATGCTTTAAATTAAAGCAGTTATTAAGACCTGTGTGTGATGTCATACATCGGGTACTGTTTATAATAGCGTACATATCAATGTGTGTAACCATATTGTTTTGTTGTTTGTTTCTTCTTTGTTTGAGGTGGCAGCATTATGCTGTGGGCTTGTCTCACAACCAGAGCCACTGACAGTGCCTGTGGCCCCTCAGCCAGTGACGTTTTTGTTTTACAGAATATTTCTAGTGTCTGTTTTCAGTGCAGGGTCCATCACAGGGTCCAAGACCAGTTCTCCAAATCCCTTTCCTGAAATACTTGTATCAGAAACTATATTGTTTTTAACAAGACAGTGATCCCCCAAAAATATTACAGATTGTTTTGGAATGTATTCAAGGTCAAAACTATTTAAACTTTATAGACTATATATAAAGCCAGCTTTTTATATGAAATTAACCAGATTAAATGAAGTCCACCATTTTGGATTAACAGGGTTAAACATTTAACCCGAAGTTCTCTTTACCCTTGCTCATTACTATAAGAAGACTTCTTTTCTGCCTTACCAGGAAGCATTTTAGCAAATATTTACAAATAATGCTGGTGATCAGGTCATAGGCATTCAAAATAAATAAGTACATTTTTGAGTGGATGTGCTCTCTTCGTCCTCTGGCATGGGAGCTGCCTTGGAGCTCGTCTGCCTGGCTGTGTGTTTCCTGGACGGGGCCGCCTTTTACAGCTGCTTTTTGTATCTCTGCTTCTGTCTCCTTGAACCCCAGTCGGCCTCGGCAGATGGCCGCTCACACTGAGCCTGGTTCTGCTGGAGGTTTCTTCCTGTTAAAAGGGAGTTTTTCCTCTCCACTGTCGCTACAAGCATGCTTAGTGTGGGGGATTGTATTTGAGTCAATGAGTCAATGCAATCAACTGGTTTTCCTTAGATAGAAAACTTTGTATCAATTTGACTGTATGATCTGGTTGAACTGTAAAGTGCCTTGAGATGACATGTGTTGTGAATTTGGCGCTATATAAATAAACTGAATTGAATTGAATTGAATTTTGTTTGTTTGTTTGTTTTTTTGGAGTTTACAGATAATAGAATAGAATAGATTCCTTTATTGTCCCACAATGGGGAAATTGTAGTGTTACAGCGGCCAAAGATTATAACAAAAGTGGTCACACAAATGTAGACCTTAGGAAAGGGTATAAAAATAAAAGAAGAGTAAAAAAATAACAAATAAAATACTACACTGTAATTTGATTATTGAAAAATTCAGGCTCCTAATTCTCTTTTTGAAAAGCATCATAGCATTTCCGTTTATCGTTCAACCCAAGAGAAAGAACAGTCCAAAGGCATTACTATAAGGAGCTTTTCTCACCTCCGCTCTTTATTTTAGTCCAGTAGGGGGCGGTAGTTCCTCCCAGCGTCCACTGAGATTCAGAAGAAGCAGCTCAGGCGGGTATGACGTAGTAGTAGTTAGCGCGGGTGGACTGATGTTGCCGATGTGTCACCGTGTTGTTGACCCAGTATAACATTACTTTGCAGTATGGCTTCATTTGTAACCGAGGTGCTCGCCAGCTCCGGGAAGCTGGAGAAGGAGGACCTGGCCGGTAAAATAAGCAGGATGTCCCGGAAAGTGGAAGATACTAAGGTAGTTGTTTTTTTCTAACTAGCTTTAGCATCTGCTACTGTTAGTGTTCAATAAAGTTAGAACTTCGGATTGCTGTGAACTCCTGACTGCCAGCTAAGGTCTGCTGAGAGTTTTAAAGTAGCTATTCTCAAAAAGTAGTCTTTGATTAATAAAAATGATAATAATTTGGTTTAGTATTCATTAGATTTATTAACTGTTGCTTGCAGGTTTTCTTTGTAACATCTGGGTGTCCTTGAATGCATCATTCACACATTTAGAATCCACATTCATCATTATTTTTAGTTACCTTATCTGTCAAATATAGGTTATTTATTTTTTATGACTGCTGATCACATGAACAAACTGTACAGTGAATCATATTTGATGTTGTTTATCAGGAGGAAATGTGTGACATGATGAACAAGAAGTACAGTGAATTTTTACCAAACCTTCAAGCATCAGAGGACCTAATGCTGCAGGTTGAAACGGTCACTAAAGAAATGGAAAATCTTAAAAATTGCATCGAATCTGAGGTATGATTAAGTTATTAATATGTCTTTTTTAATTATAGATATATAGTTTATTAATGGTTTATATTTATAAGTTCAATAATAATAGAATAGGTTGTACTTGCTGCACAGTGGTTGTTATTCCTTTTGTTTCTATGGATCCAGGTGCAGCAGAACATCCAAGTGGCGGGGAACGAATACTTAAAGCTGAAGCAGCAGCTGGAGAAAAACACTATGATTATAGAAATGCTCGAACACTTAAAGGAGGTACGCTGTGTTTGTTGAAATGTGCTGCTGCTTGTTTGAGCGTTTCACCATCTAAACTCCTTTTTCTGCTGCAGTTTCACAGCGCGATGGAGGAATCCAACGAAGCTTTACAGAAGAAAAAGTATGTGGATGCCGCCACCTGTTTGAAAAAAGTAAGAGCTCCTTGTAGCCCTTCCTTCCTTACTGTGTTATATGAAGGATTCAGGTGTGAATAAATAGGTTCAAATGGCTTTATTTACAGTAATGGGGAAAAATAGCCACCTTGATACAGATTACAAAAGATGGAAATGAAAGATATATTTATATTGTTATAATAAAAAAAATCATCTATTCCAAAACAAAAATGGAAAAGATCCCTCTTTGTTATGCCAGATTAGAGCAAATTCCTTTTTGTATTTTAGGATTAGTTCATTCTATGGATAAGAAGATCTTCAAATCCATTTTAGTTCATAAGAACCCCCCCACCTCCCAAAAATCACAATTTGATTAAAAAAAAAAATTTTATGAAATAAATTTAAAGAAATAAAAAACAGCAACCTGCCAATTCCCACCGGGTCACTGGAAATAAGGGTGTTTTAATGAGATTCTTCGTCTCTCATCCTCTTCCTTTACAGGCGAGGGAAAGAGTGAATTCCCTGAAGGATTGGAAAACATCCCAGCTTCCACTTCTCAATTCTTTGAGCTCCGAGCTTATAGTGCAGAGAGAGAATTTGATTTACCACCTTGGAGACGAGTGGAAGCGTCTCGTCATCTGGAGATTACCAGCAGCCAACGGTGAGGCTAAGGAAATGAATTCATTGATGTAAAGAGGAACAAATTCAGTATTTACCTAAACTGTTGTTTGCAAATAAGAATTCAACTGGCTGGTTTATTTTTGCTGTCTTTAGACTCTGGAGGTCCAAAGGCTTTCCATAAGACGGAGCTGGTGCTGACTGATGTCTGCACTAAAGACCTGGAACCGAAGCCGGACCCTCTGCTGTGCTCCGTCCTCCAGGCTCTAGCGGTTCAAGGAGACCTTCAGAACAAAATCAAACTCTTCAGTAAGAAAGGCTCGCTCTGACGCCCCGGTTCAGGTTTTCTCTTATTCAGAGAATAAGAGAATATGCGCATATAAATATAAGTTGGTGTTCCATGGTTATGTTGGGTGTTTATTCTGAGCCAGATTGATTTTCAGTCTGGAAATGAAGGAGTTTTCCAGGTTTGAATAAATCTATCCATCCCTTTGGTCACCCATCTATCTATATTTTTTTTTCTTCAATTCATATTTTTTAGACTTAAAGATTTAGACTTATAATGTAAATTAATTTTGTATACGAAAAAAAAATGTCGATACACACAGCTTTCCGATAGTAAATGAGCAGCTGAGCAGTGAAAAATAACATTTCCCTTCATAAAGTGCAGCAGTGATCAAAATGTAAACAATGTTGGAGAGACATGGTGCAAAAGGCATTGATGTGGAAGGTTCAGAGCAGTGTAAAATTGAATAAATAGATATGGTGCAAAATGCAAAAGCATTGAGTTTAGTTCTAATTTTTGTATGATGATATCAGTTTCTAGATTTGTGATTTGATTTGTGACTTTTTCCATCTATTCATTTTCATCATTGAGCTGATTTTTTTTATATTTTATTGTCTATTTCACAAACAAAATTCCTTGAGTGCCCTTATAATAAGACATTAGGTTTTTAACATACAAGGTAAACAAAATAAACAGAATATAAAATAATTTAAGTAAGCCAGGGTTTGGTATAGGTAACTCTTAATGACATTATTTATATTGTAAATGTCCTTTCATTATTCTTGTCCCTCCTACAATAAATAAACATCCAGCCTTCCCAAAAAGCCCCTAAACAAAATCTGTTCTATGTTGCTTTATATGCTCAATCCTTTCCAGATATTGTTGAATTTGTCCATTTCCAGTCTGATAGATGCAGTTAACCTTTTCATATTGTAAATGGTTAGCATTACATCAATTAGCATCAATCCATTCATCCACTTCTGGCACAAGATCACTTAACCATCTTCTGGTTTAATGCTTTCTTTCTCGCCAACAGCTTAATTCGAAGCAATTTATAACTGTCTGTTCTTTTTAAACCGAGTCTCAAATCTCCTGAGATACATAACTTCAAAACTGGTTGGTATTCTAATTTCTATCACTTCATCAATTATAATTTTCAATTGTGCCCAGTACTGGGTTATACTACAGGAGCATCAACAAAAGATGTGGAAGTGATTTGCTTTCGTTTCCTAATAAGATCTCAAATTCAGAACATTTAGTATCTCCATGCTTCTCTGTGCAGGGGTTGCAAAATACCTTAGTCATTCTTTCACATATATTCCCTCTAAAATGTGGAATTTGTGGTTTTCTTTGAGCTGATTATAACTGCATTTTTACCACCTGGACAATGGATACTTTTAGGATGAAAAATGTAATCCACAAAAAGTCTGGAACTTTGACTGGACAATGCAAAACTGATGAACGTAATTTTGACAGATTCTTTTTTGCATTTTCTTCCTTGCGCTGCATGTCCAATCCTAGGATGTCATCTTTTTTTTTCTCTTTTTAGGTCAAGTGCTTTTGAAGAACATGCTGAAGCCGTTGGTCATGCACCCCTTTCTTGAGCTGACGGTAGCAGAGCAACAGGGCGAGGGAACCATCCTGAGCCTGGAGTGTTTATCAGAGGACCATGAGGAGCGATCCACACCTTCACAGGTCTACAAGAAACTGCTGCTGGTGTTAAAGACGCTACACTCACACCTCCTAGGTAGAATAGAGCAATAAATAGTAGTCTTTTCTTTTTTCTACTTTTTCCCCCTTGATTAAATCAACCTGCTTCATGTTTCTTAAGATGTGCCCATCGAGGATAAAAAGCTCTCCACCATCCTTGGAGAGTTGATTTGGGAGGAACTGTCAAAGTGCATCATCCATGAGTGTCTGGTCTACTCGATACCCAACAACAGCAGCGAGCTTGAAAAATACATTATTGTACGTTCTGAAAAAAAATAAAACACTGAAACTCTGCTGCTTAGATGAATTTCCTTTTGATTAAATCCACTTCTTTGTGTTGCAGGTGATTAAAGAGACAGAGGCGTTTGAGAAGGCTCTGAAGAGCATGGAGTACCTGCAGGCCGATTCTACAGACCTGCTCAAGTACGCCAGAGATGTCAACTGTCACTTTGCCAGCAAGAAGTGCAGGGACGTCATTGTGGCGGCACGCAAACTCATGACCTCAAAGATGCACAACACAGTTAAAGTATGTTTATCTAAGATGGAAGATCGTCAGAGGGCAAAATAGGATTATAATCTGTTAATATAGAGCTGTAGATTCCAAAGACTCATTTATAAGATTTGATTTTAATATTTCTCAACGAGGGCTGTAAAGAAAAAAAAAAACACTTTACCAGATTTTAAACAGCAAGCCCTTATTGAGTCCCTGTCAGAAGCATTAAGTATCGGACTGTTAAGACTTTTTTTTACCCATTATTATTATAATCTTAGAGCAGATATTGCTTTGTCTTCTTACATTTACTCGATAAAATAACAACAATGATAACAGATGTTACAAAAGTTTTAATTTAAACAAAAACACATATTTAGTAATATAACTAAACATTAACAACGGATGTTAAATGGATGGAGTGGCAATGCATGCGCTTTACACAATCTCAGTGATCAGCAAACTCAAAGTAGTGCCTCCCAACTTTCTCACTGAGCAGTGGCCAGTGCAAGAAGAAAACACTAATATTGACATCCTGTTACATTTCACTATGTGATATAGCTACAATCTATTATTTTTTTATCAGAAAAATCTCTCAAAAATCTTTGCATCTCTTAGAACACAAACTTCCTCATATTGAAGCTTAGTGGCGCCCTTAGCAGTGACTGGAAGATGGTCTGCTTTATTAAGAGTGTAGAAGAACGTGAAACCAGAACAATCCTGGAAGAAAAGCTGTTAGGGGGCTTCATCAGAACAGTCAGTAGTGGAGATTCACAGCAAACTTAAACTGTAACATCATGGTATCAACTCTGTGGCAAGACTTTAACTACTTCCTCATCAATATCATGGATAGATTCTTATTGTCGTTGTCAATTTTGACTTTTCCTCCTACTGCATTCTGAAAAGTATGTAAAACATTTGTGTTTCCAGAATTAATTCTTTTTTTCATTGAACTTTAAAATAAGTTTTTAGTTCTAAACATTAGTCTTGCTGATATTACAATTAGTTTTTATAATAAATGTTAATGATAATTATTTAAATTTTGTTTTTTATTTGGTTTTCTTGCAAGTTTCGAACTGTTGCATCAATTCTGTTGAAACTCTGAAGCTGGAAAAAATGGGAGTAAACAACAACAAATTAAAGTTTATTTTGAGCATGGTGTCTAACATTCCCAATCTAGTCTTTTCTTTTATTAAACAAAGTGAACTTCAACATCTTTGAGCTGGATTTATGATTCTGAAAATAATTAAGGGGAGAGCAGATGCAGGAAACATTTTTAATTCTTCCTCATTTGCAGTTTATTTTTACATGTTTTTTAGTGTAATTAACTCTTGGCGTATTTTATTTTAAACATATGTGGGGACTTTACTCTTTTAATGCAAAATGAATGCAGAAGTCTCACTTTAGACCTTTAAGTCAGGATTTGCTGTTTCACTCATTGGCTTCAATTCCTTCTCTCCTCTGTAAGATCAACCCAGAGTCGAAGCTGCGGCTCCCTAAGCTGCCTCCTCCCAGTTCAGAGGTGAAAGTGAAGCAGGAGGTGGTGAAGGAAGAGGTGACGATGGAGAACTCGAAACAGTTGTCTGCCTGCAGTCTGCGCCTGCCAGCCTGTCGCATCAGCGAGTCGGTGCAGCAGCTGATGGAGCTGGCAGTTAGCACGCTGTGTGAGGCTGTTGGAAGCTCCACACAGTGGTCAGTTTCAGAGATGTTACTGCGTTTAAAAAAAAAAATAAAAATCAGCTAAAATGAAACGGGACAAACCCCCAACTAATAATTCTGTGTGATCTTCTCAGCGCCTTGCAGCTCTTCTTCACTGTGAGGAACATTTTCCAGCTCTTCCACGATGTCGTCCCCACGTACCACAAGTAAGGATGCTTCCCCATCAGGTGATGGAATGTCCCTGTGAGGATGAACCTCCTGTCATTCTGATTCCTTCCAGGGAGAACTTGCTCAAATTTCCCCACCTTGCCGCCGTCCAGCACAACAACTGCATGTACCTGGCGCACCACCTGCTCACCCTGGGTCACCATTTCAGGGCACACCTGCCGCAGCCTCTGGGCGAGGGCGTGGCCACGTTTGTCGACATGGTGCCTGGATTCAGGAAACTAGGTGAGCCATAGATCAGGAAAAATTAGATCAGCATATGTGTATAGAAGAAGAAATAAGTTTCTCCAGGCCAGGAGTCAGCAACCCTAAATGTTCAAAGAGCCATATTTGACCCAAAAAATAAAAAAACAAATCTGCCTGGAGCCACAAAAATGTGAAAGTCTTATATAAGCCTTGTATGGCTATATGGGCTCTAAGCGTATTAGCCCACTATAGAAAATTATTTAAAATATTTAATAAGCATTCATGATTAAATGTTTATCCTGGAGCAAATGTCACATCATGTGACTTCTCTGCTTTAGGTTTAAAGCCTGGTTTATGCCCAGAAACCAGGTCGTCTTGTCGCTGTTAACGCAGATATGTGCCGCCCCCCCTTCCACAGACACTGGTGCACCTCCCCAAAATTGAAGCTGACAGCAGACAGTGCTGCAGATAGCGTAGCATGGAGGAGAGAAAGGAGGCCTCTGATTGGTCAGTTCAATTCAATTTGTGAAGTTCCACAATCTCCATTAGTCAGCTGCGATGTTTTCCCACATGGCTGGTGTGGGTAATGGCAGAAACTCTGGTTATTGTGCCATCCACAACGCCTGGCACAACTCGGACACTATCCCAGACACCGTGCAGGATGCTAGTTTGTAGCTCTGCGACGGTCGGTTGGTTTGCAGCTGAAGCTGAAACGGGGAGCGCCACGGCCAGTCTTTCGGGAACACTCACTGGGTCATCCGGTGTTGGATGAGGGGTTGTAGACGGTTCGTAATCGTCCCTCTTGCGTTGTGGCGTGGATAGCGAAGACCACGTTTCAAAATTGGGCATAAATCAAAAATACCTGCATCATACTTGCGACAAGCTAACTGCGACACACTGCGTGAGTATACGCAGTCCTCTCACCGGATGAAGTTCACTGCTCGCCCACCGCTCGGTTTGTATGTATTAGGTTTTGTTGCATTGATGAAATTATAGAAACAATAAAGAAATCTGATTTTTGGTGTTATTTTTATTTTGAGGTTTTGGGTGAAAAATGGAAGAAAGTTCATGTTGGGTTTTAATCCAGAGAAATTTGAGTTTAAAAGATTAAAAGGAAATAATCAACACAGAGACAGGGTTTTGTGACGTCAGCGTCTGCAGAGCGGAGAGAAGCTGCTGGCTCGGAAAACCAGCACCTTCTCACACAGATCCCTTCATGGCAAAGCCTTTTATTAAGAGTTTTACAACATCATAAGGCGGGCCTAAAACAGAAGACAGTAATGATTATCTGGGAGGATGCAGGTAATAAGATAGTGTGAATTGACCAACTGGCTGGATGGAAGTCACACAACCGTGTGATTCTGCCTCATGACCTACAGGAGGTCATAAAAGTTTATGACCCTTCTGGTTGAAACACAGGATAGAAATGTAGGATCTTCTTTCTTTCAATGTTTCATATGTCCACACAATAATTTTATAATTATCACTCTAACAGTTCACATACCTGCATCAGAGCTCTACCTGTTCTATTTGTGAACGGTTTTCCATGCTTGCAACAAAACTAGCAGCATTAGTGGAGTTAGGGTAATGCAGGTCAACAAACAACCCATATACGACTCCCCTACACTAAGGGACGGACCCCTTTGTCCGGTTCAATTTGCATATTTTCTAAGCCAAAACAAGGCGTTGTTTTTGGTCCACTCTATCAAACCTCGAACTCAATGATATTTCTGACATTTTGAATTGAAAAAGCTTCCTGGATGGGAAGCGAAATGTCTTCAAACTTGGAAACAAAGTCCAGTGGCTTATTTTTTTTAACTCTTTGTGAATGACTATGACCTGGATGACTAAGAATCTTCATCAGCATACAGCGAGTTACAATTCACTTCTTAAATCTATCTTTGCACTCATGTAATTTATCCAGAAGTTCTTCAATCGCACTTTTTCTCTCATTCCTAACTTGGTGGTCAGCTGCAAAATTTAGCATGCCTTTCCTGGAAATGCCTTTTCAAATGACTCTTTTTATTATTTGACAACTTCTCATTACAAAGCAAACATGTAGACAATCCTTCCCCATTGGTAATGAAAGCAAATGATTCGGACCATTCTTCTTTGAATCATCTGTTCTCGTCACCTCTTTCTTTTTTCCCCTTTGGGATCCATGGCCCAAGTTTACAACAGCCACCTGTCTGGCACCGCGCATCGCTGAAACGTGTGTTGCAGCATCCTCAATGCTTTTTTTCCCCCACCTATTGATTTTTGCGCAACATCTATCTGATCAACATCTATCCTCTGATCAGTTTTTTTTTTATCCAATCACTTGTCCTTCAGCCAGTTGGATGCACTTCAATGAGGCCATCGTCTATTTGTTTATCCATCAACACATTAGTTTGTTTCTCTCTTCATTTATTCATTCAGCTGTTCTCAGCAATTCATCCATTCATTAATTAATTCGTCTGTCGTCATCCTTTATACCTTTTATCTTTGTTATCTTGTCTCTCTATCCATTCCCATTGAATATTCTTCATTCTTCCTTACATTTAGTGAAGCATATTGGATTTGTCTTTTAATCCCTAAATTGTCTTTGTGCACTCTCCTTTTAAATCTACACATGGTTCAGACTCTTCTCTTTTTAGTTTTTTTATTTGATTTCATTTTTTTAGGCGCTCAGTGTTTCTTGGCTCAGCTGAATGTCCAGAGAGCGGAGCTTCTTGAAAGACTAGCCACTGCTCACAACTTCTGCAACCTTGATGACGAAGACAGCTACATTGCAGCTAGCAAAGCAGTAAGACAGGTGGGTGGACGGAGACTTTTAGTGGTCTGGGAAAATTAATTTTATCATTTTGAAGTTGTCTAATTTTGTAGGTTTTGTTGTGTTTTGTACTGCAGCAGGTTTATATGAGGCTGCAGCCATGGGAATAAAAAAAATCCCTTTATAGTTGTTTAATGCTGCATGTAAAATGCAGAGGAATGTTTTGGACGGGGAAAAGGGTAAATTTATTAAAGGGTAGTATTGTTTTTCATTTGACGCATTAAAAATTATGACCAAAACAGTTTGATTTATTTCTTTTTGTTATATGTTTCATTCATGCGCAGCTTCTGGTTACTTACTAATTTCTTCCCGTCTCTGCAGGTCGTTCATCAGCTGAAACAGCTGGGTACAGTGTGGCAGGATGTGCTTCCAGTCAGCATCTATTGTAAAGCCATGGGCAACCTGCTCAACACGGCCATCACAGAGATTATTACGAAAATTATGATGCTTGAGGTTTGTTGATTTATTTATTTTTTCTTCTTCTTTACATTAATTACATTTACATTCATTTTTCCATGTGTTTTTAGGTGTTACTGGTATGTAATGAGTTACAAGTCTCCGGCTATAAAAACTACACCCAATTTAAGCCCTGATCACACTAGTTGTTGATGAGGTTTTAATCTCTGTCAGGATTTTTTTTTTTTATGTCTCACTGACTACAGTGAGTATATAGAGGCTCTCGGTACCCATAAAGTGAGCAGATCTTGATCTGTGCAGAATTTTTTCCCTTAATTTCTTTCTTTGGTCTTCTTTGATTGGATCGGATTAATGCAAGTAAATAAATAAATAAAACAGCAGAAAGGCAGCAAAGCCTCACTTCATGACCCGCCTGCACAGTAAACCAGATAGAGGATTTTGATATATTAAGAATATAATTGGAACTCAGTATCTTAAAGATAAAACACAGCAATAGAGGCCGTGCACTCTCCCGTACTGTCCCTTGTTATTTATTTATTTTTTTTTTTTCGAAGCTCAGATTATCACTTTTTTCCCTTATATATCTTTTTTTTTCCATCTGCGCTCTTATTATTGGTTAGGTATTCTGTCACACAGCCGGTGGGACAGACTGTGCAACTCCAAACAGGCCAAACCTGACTGTTTTCTTTTACGAATGAGAGATTTAACTTTTTATTTCCTCCAATGCGGATGTGTTTTACTTTGTAACTGATTCTCTCTTTCTGTCATGGACATGCTGAGGATTAATGTATGTTGCTGTAAATAAAACTACCAAGTGGTGTTTCTAAGCAGCTCTTATAATGGTTGAATTTTGCAGCAGATACAATAAAGTTCAAACCATCTTGCTAAAATGACCGAAGCCATCAATTATTGACTGATTTGTTTTCAATACACAGTTTTTTTGTTTTGTTATGTTTTTTCATTTCTCCATTAGCCTCCTTTCAATATGTGTATAAATATATATATTATTTATGAAATACGTCACAAAATATTTTAGAGTTCTTAAACATACAAAATATATTTTTTTAATAAAATTTAAAGATATTATGTGAGAGAATACCTGCAAATTTATTCTAATATAGACTCAAAACAATGTGGAAAAGGTTGGAATATGATTTTAGCATTTTTCCAGGTGTGGCTAGGAAAACTTCATTTATTACAGGCTTTATTTGCTGTTTTGTTTTCTAAAAGGTGTAATAAACCATCCAAATATCGGTTATGTATGTATCGCCCTTTTTGAATTAGACATTTTGTCATGTAAATTGTGTATTATCTCAGGAATTGTCCATATTCATTTTGTTTATCTTTTCTTTTTTTTTTTGTTGTGCAGGATATTTCGTCTGAAGACGGGGAGCACCTCCATACTCTGTGCCAAACCATCATCGAGGAAGGTCCGCTGGTTTTCATTCCTCTGGCTGAGGAGAACAAGAATAAGAAATATCAGGAGGAGGTGCCGCTCTACGTGAAGAAGTGGAGCACTTTTAAGGAGCTCGTCATCGTGCTGCGAGCCAACCTGCAAGAGATCGTTGACAGGTTAGAAGCACCCACAGGGCAAAGATTGATTTTGAAAGCATGATTTCTGGTATTTTCTTTGCTTTTTTTATTTAAATTTAAATATTTGAAAACTGTTAAAAAAAAACATTGATATAAATGTATTTTTGGTATTTTTCTTTAAGCATTTAAACATTAAATAAGTTATTTTACATTAAAAAAAACTGGTCCGTTCAACAGTAGATTCTATTAGTTCTGTGGTATCTGTGAAATTTTCTTTACAAAAAAAAACAAAAAAACTAACTTTATGTTTATACAAATGTATATGTTTTAACAATAAATATTGGAAATAAAAATATAGGTGTGTTAGACCAAGTTTTTTGGTGTATTTCCTGGTAAAGTTATTATCTAAAATAACTAATAAAATAAAATAACCCTCTAATTTTCTTAATGATTTCAATTTGTTTTATTTTTCTGGAATTGTTCTTCACAGGTGGGCTGACGGTAAGGGTCCGCTGGCTGTGGAGTTCACCAGTTCGGAGGTGAAGGGTCTCATTCGAGCTCTGTTTCAGAACACGGAGCGGAGAGCTGCTGCCTTAACCAAAATCAAATAAACAATAAAACCACCAAGAAGAATCCATTACATGTTTTTTTTTCAGTGGAAAACCTCACTTCGCTACTTTAAAACTTTCTCCTGCATGAGAAATTGTCTAAACCGGAGCTAACCACGAGTTGGAACCAGTCTTCTCTACAAAGATAACTGTGTTTTTCAGCTGCATCATTTCCTCTGAGCTGCTATAACCAGAGGTTTTCCTTTGATTAATTTTTCAGGGTTAATCAAAATCTGTTTGTTTTTTTTGTTTGTTTGTTTTACATTTCTCTTGTTTTTTTATTTTTCTGGGCTTTACGTTTGAAGTTCAACATCTATAGACATCTTCCTGCAAACGAAATGATTCAGAATTTCTCTGTAATGTATTTATTATTTTACTAAATAAACATCTGTTTTCCTCACATGCAAAAGAAATAAACAAACCCTGTCTAAATTTGTAGAAAATATATTTTCCTTGCAGGCTTTCCTTGATGATGTGATCAGCCTATATGGCGTTTGGGATTAAATGCTTACAACTCCAAAATTGTGGTTCATGAGGTTGTACTGTTAAATTTCTATGAGTGAGTTAATTAGTTTATAATGCATCTACCCTAAATAAGTTTCCCATTTTAAGGTAACATGTCAAACACACCACTTCCTTATGTGATAAAAGAAAAATTCCAGAAGGGAAGAGAAATGGAGACATCCATGTCTGGTTTAAACTTGGTCACAATTTCCACATTCATGAAGGCGCCATCAGTTCAAACAGTTATATGAAAAATAAATGATAATGCCCAGCTCTTTTACAGCTTAGGAAAGTTTTGAGTTTAAGAGATGAATAAATTTGGATGTGGAATTAAATTTTCTAACAAAAGTTGAGTTGCCCTGTGAATATGCAGATTTGTTTAAGTGAGATGCTCAAAGCTGGCTGCAGCTTTGCAGTGATGTTTGCTTTGATTATACAGAGAAATAAAGTTGGTTATTGTGATAAAGATGTCCATTATGGGAAAATACTTTGATTATATCAGACTGTAGGATTTCACAAAAATGAAGGTATGTGTCCCTAAATTTGCAATCTGGTTTACCGCTATGCTTTTGGAGAAAAAGTAACTTATTGAACGTAATATGACTCTCTTAAAGTTAGAAAATAAATATATGTTTAATAATGATTACCATCCTCACTCTGTATGGAAGTAAACATGGATGGATCCCTGTCCAACTCTGTCACAGTTCCCATTGTTTTAAACACTTTGATAATAGCTACTAGATATAGAAGCTCATGGCCTCTATATTGCAATTTAATGACTTATAAGTAATATATATAAATATATAACATTTATCTCAGTGTTATACCATGTTCTTTTGTCTCCCACTTTAAAGATTGGGGAAGTGAGAAACTCATTTAATCCAAATTATGTTTACAACCCTGGGAAAGAAACCTGGGTCAATTTAAGAAAAAACGTTTGAGTAGCATTTCATTGTTCTCAATAACTTCTTAGATTAGCTGGATTCGTAAAATGATTCAGCACACAAGCACTATATACACACACACACTGCTCAAAAAAGAGGGGAACACTCAACACATCCTAGATCTAAATAAATGAAATATTGTCATTTAATTCTTTTTTCTGTACAAAGTTAAATGTGCTGACTACAAAATCACAATGGTAATCAAATGTATTAACTAATGGAGGTCTGGATTTGGAGTCACACAAAATTAAAGTGGGAAAAAAACTACAAGCTGCTCCAACTTTGATTTGATGTCCTTAAAATAGGTAAAAATGAGGCTCAGTATTGTGTTTGGCCTCCATATGCAAGCATGACCTCCCTACAACGCCTGGGCATGCTCCTGATGAGGTTGAAGATGGTCTCCAGAGGGATCTCCTCCCAGACCTGAACAGTCTGTGGTGTAATATGACATTGGTGGATGGATCAAGAAATTATGTCCCAAATATGTTTAATCGGATTCAGGTTCAGGACATGGGCAGGCCAGTCCATAGCTTTGATGTCTTCATCTTGCAGGAACTACTTACACACTCCATTTACATCAGGTCTAACATTGTCCTGCATTAAGAGAAACCCAGGGCCAACCGCACTAGCATATGGTCTCACAAGGGGTCTGAGAATCTCATCTCGGTACCTAATGGCTGTCATGCTACCTCGGTGAGAACATGGAGGGCTCCAAAGAAATCCCAACCAACACCATTACTGATCCACTGCCAAACCGGTCATACTGAGGGATGTTGCAGGCATCATAACCCTCTCGACAATGTCTCCAGACTCTGCCATGTCTGGAAAAATGTGCTCAGTGTGAACCTGCTTTCATCTGCAAAGAGCAGTGAGCAATATTGGTGAATTTGCCAATCCTCGTGTTCTCTAGCAAATGCCAATCATTCTCAACGGTGTTGGACTGTGAGCACAACCCGCATCTGTGAACATCTGGCCCTCATACCATCCTCATGGAGTCGTTTTCTAACCGTTTGTGCAGATATATGCACATTAGTTGCTCTGGTAGTGCTTCTCCTGTTCCTCCTTACAGAAAGGCAGAGGTGGCAGTCCTGCTGCTGGGTTTTTGCCCTCCTACAGCCTCCTCCTCATCTCCTGATGTACTTTCCAGTCACCTGGTCGTGTCCCACGCCTCTGGAGACTCTGCTGACAGTCATAGCAAACCTTTTTTGCCACAGCTCGCATTGATGTGCCATCGTGGAGGAGGTGCACTACCTGAGTCACAGATTGTAGAGACCGTATCATGCTATCACAAGTATGAAAACACCACCAACATTCAAAAGTGATCAGAACATCAGCCAGAAAGCCTTTGTACAGAGACGTGGTCTGTGGTCCCCACCTGCAGAACCAATCCTTTATTGAATGTGTCTAACTTACTGCCAATAATTACCACCTGTTGTTTATTCTAGTTGCACAACAGTGTGTGAAAATGGTTTTGTTGCTTCCGAACAGGAGATTCTGATTTAGTTGAGGTACTTTTGTGTTGTTTATGAGTTTTTTTTTTTACTCTTTATTTTTTAGCAGTATGTATATTTATATGCATGCATAATTTTAAAATTTGTATCTCTGCTTCTGTATCCTTGAACCCCAGTCGGCCTCGGCAGATGGCCGCTCACACAGAGCCTGGTTCTGCTGGAGGTTTCTTCCTGTTAAAAGGGAGTTTTTCCTCTCCGCTGTCGCTACAAGCATGCTTAGTGTGGGGGATTGCATCGCAAAATGGTTTCAAGATTCCTAGCAAGAAAAAACATTATTTCTCCAGCCGTCTTCTACTCTGGAAAGTATGACAAAAAATAATTATTTCAAGCTGGATTTGAACCAACGACCTAATGATCTTCATTAACTCACTACAGTCCTCTGCGCACTGTCAACCATATATCTCAAGTCCGACACTGATTAGAGTAATAAATCATATAAAGCTAAGCAAGAGAGTCTACATTTTAGATATAGTTTATTCGAAGATATCTTTACAAATAACTATATTATGTATTTATTGTTTTTAACGTTTTGATAGAGGACTGTGACGCGTGTATTTGCTCGGTAGAGGGCGCTGATGCACTAAAACCTCCTAAGCAGCATGAGGCGATATGAGAGTCGTCGGGCGGCGCGCTACCGCCATGTCATCTAAAGAGAAACAATTAGCGCTTTTGACTGTTTTAGGTCTAGTTCTTCTAGTTTTTTACTATATACCTACCTTTATTTACGCAACTTTAATTCTAGTGGTTTGCTGTTTTGCCTTATACTATCGCGGCGGAGAACAACTTCCCGCCAGGCTAGGCCCGAATCCTCGGGTTGGGCTAAACGTCCCAGCCGTGTTCCGGCGTTGGTTTCCGGCCTGGGAGACGACCGGCGTGTCGGTGGCTGCACGGGGGAGACCTAAAAGCAGCAGCTACAGAAGTGAGCTCCGGGAAACAGAGGGACATTCAACACAAAGACACAGTGAAACCAGAATTTATCGGGGGGAAGCTTTGGCAAGCGACTCGTTTCTTTTCAGTCCGCGGGATTTTCTAATGGGGAGTTATATCGGAAAACCGGAAAGTCCTAGCACCGACTCTGGGAGGCCAAGAGCGGCGAGAAACCCACGAGAGCAGCTGCGGGAAAGGCTGGCCAGACCCAACCATGCCGTGTACACCCCAAACAGGAGGCTTTCATTCGCTGGGTAATGGCACGAATACACCTTGCCTCTTTCTCTTTATTTTTAGCCCATTCATCATTTCAGATGAAGATTTAATGGCGGAATTTACAGCTTTAGTTACAAATATGTGTCGCGTGCAGAATGTTATAGTAAAACCTGGGTGAGTTAATGGTTGAATCCTCTAAGATATCAGTTAAATAGTAACTTTTGTTGTTAATTATGTCAACAATTGAACCTGTCTTTGTTTTCATCAAGCCAATCAAAACATGATAGGTTTAGACTTGGATGTTGTTACTTTGATTTCCTTTGAAAAGTTACAGTAAGGTCTTAAACTTTCTCCACTTCCACATGTTGCATCCATACTGTTAAAAGTGAACTAATGCAATGTATAAAGCTCCAAACTCAGTGAATACAATTATTTCCGAGCATATTTGCATGAACTTTAACCTTTTTCCATATTTTTTTCCACGTAAAGTAATCCTATCCACTGGCAATGATCGGGTATCTGTATTTTTTATTCACATACATTTCCCCCCCCCCCCCCCCCCCCCCCCCCCCCCCCCCAGCATTTTATTGTCATTACACTGTCACAAGTACAGAGCAACGAAATTAACTCTATTCATTTAACCCATCCCCTTTGGGGGCAGTGTGGGGGTTAAGGGTCTTGCTGAGGGAGCAAGGTGGCAGTCTGTGGGAGTGGGTTTTGAACTCACAACCTCAGGATACCAAGCTCTATGCCCTAATCCAGGGGTGTCAAACTGGTTCCAGAAAGGGCTGGGTGGCTGCAGGTTTTCTTTCCAACCAAGCTATTACACACCAGACTCCATTCATCATGTTAAGAGTAGGCTCACTGGATGAGATGACTGGAGTCTAGTGTTCTACTGCTTGGTTGGAAATAAAACCTGACTGAAATCAGATTTTGGCCTGGGTTATAGTTTAAATGAGTTTCTCCCTGATTCAGTTTGTGACTTCAAACATTCAGAAAAGCAGCAGCACAGTAGCCACCATTGCTTCCTTCTGATTCCTTGTCATCCTTTACATCGCACACACTGCACTTGTATTAGCTTAGAGCAGGGGTCTTCAACGTTTTCCAGGCCAAGGACCCCCCAACTGACGGCAATATGGAGCTGGAACCCCCTAATTATATATATTGTATGAAATTGTGTTATATCAGACTCGTCCTATAGTCATTCTATTACAGATAGAGTCGTGTAACGAAAGTAATTTCTCCCTGGGATTATTAAAGTATTTCTGATTCTGATTCCTGGTTAATGGTACAGGTGTTGTGAATGAAACGGTGCCCAGCTTGAAAGAGCTCCCATGTTTCGCTGAATGTGTGCATTGCTTCTGCCTCCATTTATTTGTTGTTTATAAATGTGTTGAATTCATGTTAATGTGAATTTAAAGACATTTCAATCAGTGGAAAAAAATTACAGGGGGGAATATATATTTAAAAAAAATTTAATCAACCAAAACTTTTGCAACCTCCATGCAGTACCTCCGTGGACCCCCTTTGAAGACCTCCGGGCCAAAGTATTAGTTATAGTTTTTTCTGAGTTTCACTAAAGGTAATGAGAGCCACCAGTCCTTAAAGCCTTGGATTTCTAACAGGCGTTATCCAGCTCTTCTGTGTGTAATAATAGCAATCCCTCACCGAATCCTGTTTGTGGAGCCCTGAAAATAAATCAATACAAGGTGGAATGGTTTGTCATTAGTCAGCAGTATATGATCTATATTATTGGAGTAACATCAGTGCAAATTCTGTGACCAGTGTTTTCTTATGGCCTTTATAAAGCTGTGACCAGGCAGTACTGATGCTAGTAAACGTATTCCTTTTCAGTATTTAACCTATTGTGTTATCCTAAAGTTACAGATATGTCTCCTCATATGTGTAAAAATAAAGAAATCTAGAAATACATTAATAGAATAAAGTCCTGATTATTTGAAATGTATAAAAATTAAAACAGTGCTAAAAAGAGTTGTAGCAAATCGCTTACAAGATATTACAGCTCACTTGGATTTTTTTTCCTTTATATTCATAAGAAATATTTTTCTACGAGACTATTCTAGTACTAATTAACTGCGGTTCCCAGTATCTGTGAGCTAAAGAATTGTATACCTTAATATTGTAAATTAAGTTGTTTGTTCCTGTTAAAATTAGGGCTGAAACAACTAATAGGATTAATCGTGATGAATCGATTATTGAATAGTTGAATATTATTGATAGTTGTCAACTAATTTATTAATCAGTTAATTGTTAACTGGAGAATAAAGACTGTAAAACATGACTTAAGCTGACAGAGCAACCCACTTGGAGCAGGGATAAAAAAAATTGTAAAATATATATATATATATATATTTTAAAACTTGGCATTTAAGAAGAAAAAAAAAACATTTCTGTCAATATCCTCTATCCAGAAGGTGAGGTTTTTTTTCACCCGATTTAAATTTGTAAACTATCTAATTTAAGGAACATTTGGCTATCCGATAATTAATCAATTAATTGCTGCATCCATCCATTGGGGAAAATGGATGGATGCAGCCCTAGTTGAAATGTTTTCAGCTTTTTTGTTTTTAAGCATCTTGTTTTGTCTGCATTGACTGATCTAAAAATCATAGATTATAGCCTAATAAAGGTTCCTGTTCTGATCATCACCTCATTCTGTCAAGCTGCATGTTTTTCTTTTGACGGAGGTGATATTTACCTGGCCTTTATCTCCTCATCATGTTCCTCACAGTGAGCCACCGGGTCCCACGGCCAGGTTCACCATCACCCCTCAGCGTCACTACCCTCTGCAGCAGCCAGGCGTCTCCTCCGTGGGTCTCCTTCCCCCCGTCAGTTGGGACGGCTTTAGGAAGAAGAATGTCCTGAGTCCTCGTAACTCCCCAGCTCCCCTCAGCCCTGTCACAGTGAAGATCGCCAGGCCCGACCAGAGGAACCCCAGGTTAGTGACGCAGTGTTATGATTAGTATCCATCTCCAACAACTCTTGATGGTGACGCTGACTGGATCTGTTCTGTCTGTGGTCTGGTCTCTAGTGTGAATCATCTGAGCTGTGCTGGGCTGACCCGCACCCCTGCAGACCCCTGCTCCAGAGAGAGCGTCCTGAGGGTGCTGAAGGAAAGTCGCAAGAGAGAAGTAGAAGATGAGGACAGGAGCTTCACAACAGCGCAGAAAAGCAAAAGAAGGTGTCACCTGAGCTCTTTTTATTTTATGATGTTTTTCAGATTTAAGTAATATTGTTTTTTCCCGTTCTCTGAAGAAAAGCTGGATGATAGATGTAGCTTTGTTGGAGGAACAAAACATCTTAAGATCTTAAATCTACTCATGAATATTTAAGTCTTTGACTATGTTTTTGGCAAACAAACAAATTCCATTTTGTAACTCCAGGTTTAAAACGGCACTCTGCATTTTCTCTGACCTGTCCCGTTTCTGTAGGCGTAATGACAGCGATGGAAGTGCACACTCTGCCTTTGAGCCTCTGCTGCCCAATGGAGCTCCATCCCAGCTGGTCCCCAAGTGAGTCACATTGTGTTAAAGACAAATTCAATGTTTAGACTATAGATCTAGAGAAATCCTGCTTAGTCCTAATTGGTGGATCCCTTTCTATCTTTCATCCACCCACTTGTTTAATTGCAGGTTTTATATTTGAAGTCGGACAAATGTTGGAACTTCCGCCATTCTTTAATAGTAGAGCTTTGCGTAGATACTTTGAAAAGAAACAATCAAAGATCTTAGAGCTTTTTAGATTTGGGTTTAAGAAAATCAGTTTTTTTTCACATGAAAACAGCCAATATTACTGTGTTAAATGTTTTTCCTCCAGACCAGGGACCCTAAAAAGAGGCATGACGTCGGCGACCGATGAGACCTCCATGAAGAGGTCCCGCACCTCGTCCATCAGCTCAGGGACTGGGATCCATGCTCCAAGAGGAACCCCTGGCAGCAGGAGAAACGCCATCCAAAGCTCCTACAGCTCCTCGGTTGGCCTCAGTCAGGTTTGCTTCTCCTCAGTTCTGTGATCCTTTCAGAGATCAAACCAGTACTCGATTCTCATATCTTTGTTTTGCCTCTTCAGTGGAAGAAACCCTCTGCTCCCAGCTCTCCTCTGTCCAGCCCCGAGTCATCTCGCTCTCAGACTCCAGATGGAGTCTCGAAAAGACTCAGGTCTGTTAATGTCAGGGTGCCAACGTGAATCCTAAATGTAGAATTTTTAACTTTTGGTTTCATCAATAGAGAGGAGGACATTCAGTCTCCCAGCTCAGCATCTTCTGTGAGGTCAGATCACACCACATTGGATAAAACGCCTGACACTTGTAAGTCTGATCCACCTTACTCTGCTTTTGGCTCTGTACCTCAGTTGATAAACTTTAATTATTCAAATCCATCTATTCACAATGAAGTGTATATGTATATTTTCATGCAATAAGCCTTCATTCTGTCCTTGCTGGCGTTGTTATCCATCCAGCATAATGAACACATGCATTATTAAAAACATGGATGTTATTCTGCCTGATTTTATTTCCCACTGTCTATGTTGAAGCAAAACAAACTCCAACCCCCAAATTCCCAGTCAAAACTCCACTGGACTCAACAGGAAGTGGTGGGAAGAGAAAAAGAAAGATTCAGCTGGTGTCCAGCAATAGAGATGATCATATCACTCTGGTAAGGAATTGAAAATCTTCAGACTTAGAACTTAAAACACTGTATTTTAATTGTCTTCTGGATTCCTGCCCAGTCTGGAACAAAATTTGGTTGGATACATTTTTTCTGAGTCTAATATAAAAAAGGAAAACAGGCAAAAAAAAACTGTTTTAGAAGGTTTCCTCAATCTGTTAATCCAGCCATTTGCCCTGTTATATTTACCAATTTCTCAGTTCAAAACTGAAGCACTGTAGAATTAGCTGCCATAGGTTGTAAATAATTATTTTAAAAGAGGCCATAAAACAGTAGAACTGTGGAAATGTGAGTTTAGAAAAGTGAGGGACCTCTAATCATGCAGCTCTACAGTGTCTGGAACCTTTACATGATTAAAAATGTCTCCCTACTGCCTGTTTAAGTTTTAAAAAGTTTTCCCACTGACTGGTTCATCGAGCAGAGATAATGGGTTGCTAAACAAACTCCTACTCTGTGATTGGATGAATGAAGGCAGGTTAAAGGAAACTTCAATAAAACCTTTTAAAAGTCTAAATGACAATTGATGAAAATTGTGAATAGGAGGGAAATTCATTCAGAAATTTAGAGGGCTGTTGCTTTTGGCATAGCTGTATAGGAGTGTAGGAGGGAATTGCAAATGTTGGAAGTTGGACCTGAGTTAAATTTTTGACATGAAAAATGTGTTTTTAGTTCTAATATCTGTTTGCTTTCAGCCTCCACCCCCTGAGCTGGGTTACACCATCACCGCTAAAGATCTTGACGAAGAGAAGAAGGCAGCCATCAGTAAGATCCAGAAGGTCCTGGAGACCCCTGGTGAGCGCCTGTATTAATTTAAAACATGGTCAGATTTAGTGTTTATCTTCTGTTTCACCTTAATATTCATTTTTTGATTTAAGCCCCAGAACCAGAGCAGTCAGCATCTCCAGCAGCACCCACCTCCACTCAGCCTGCTGCATCCACCATCACCACCCTGAGTAGCCTCCTGGCAGCCCCTCTGCCTACATCCAGCTCCGTCGTTCCAGTAATCAACCTAGATCCCAGCCCAAGCAGCAGTTCAGCCCCTGCAGTTGCCAACACTCTGCTGGAGGCCCTGAAGATGAAGATAAGCGTCCCTGCTAGCTCCACATCAGCAACAAGCACAGGTATGCTTCTTATCCTCAGAATAACACACTGCTTTATGGCATCAAACTTTCCCACCTTTCATCACATCATAATCATAACTTTAGTGTGTTTTTTAGGGGGGGTTGAATTATCGTAAAGTGAAAAGAAAAATGTATGGTCTTTAAAAAAGTTTCCATACATGCACTTAAATGATAAGGTGCTATCTGCAGCTTGGCAGGCTCTGTTTACGAGGGCTGGCCTCTGGGTTTATTTATCATCCTGAATCATTTTAAATATTTAGCATTTAGCCTGAAACATCATTAAAGTGACGAGCATTATTAATTGCGCTCAGTTCAACTGCAGACAGAACTGTTTGGACTTGATTTGTAGAACCAAATAGAGCTGACGGACTTTTATTTTCAGCAGGTTTCTTCAGTGAGTCTCGGATGTCATTCAGTAATTTGTCGGACGGCTGTAATAAATCTCCCTGAATTTTGTTGGCAAGTTCTCTCTGACAGCTTTATTGTCGTGGTTACTAGGACGGGCAGTAGGAGGCTTCCGGTAGGGCCAGTTGATTCATTGTCAAAATCAGTTGATAGAATTTTTTGTTTATAAAGATTAGATTTTTGGAAATTAATTTTTTTAATAATTCCCTACTTATTCTTCAGAGTTCATCGGTTTATCTCTTTTTGTTCTTATATTTCTACTTATAACTGATAAACCAGCTATCTGTGTGATACCACTAGCTGCATATATATTTTAATTGTTGTGAAACATTGTTTCCAGCATTACTCATGGCTGACCACAGGTCACCTCACAGAGGGGAGGATAAAAAGCAAAGCTAGTTTTTGAAAGCAAAATGTCACTTTTATTGGAGCAGTGTTGGCTTAATGGGTTAGAGCAGTGCGCTTGTGCTCTGAGAAGGGTGCAAGTACCCGATTCAATCCCCAAATCCTTCACTCTGGGTTCCTGAGCATGACCCTTAACCCCACACTGCTCCCCAAGGGGAAGGGTTAAATGCAGAGGTTCATTTCTCTAATGTGAGATTAATAAAGTTCAATTATTATTATGATTATGAAACTTGGATTAATAATGGTTGGAGAAAATTCAGAGTTTAGACTCTACCTTCTAGCTATTTATACTACCTTACATATTCATTTATAGACACACTGGGCGTTCCAAGCAGTTTCACCTTCTCTGTGTTTAATTTTACAAAGATTAAGATTATAAGGGAAAACTATCCTGTAGCATGTCGGCACATCTGAGGGTTTTTTTTTTCCATAGAAAGGTTAAAATATGCTCCCTACCATCAACTTTTAGTATAAAACAGCACTCTTTTATACATGAACCCCTGCTAATATATGGGACTACTTGAAAACTTGAAACGTTTTAGGGGATGTACATTCTGAAAGGCCTGGATCTTCACTTTAGTCTCATCATTCTCCTCTTTTCTTGCTCTCTCTATAGCATCTGTATCAGCCACACCTGCATCTGCCCCTACCTTTAAACTGACAACATCCACCATAGCCCCCACAGCGCCCCCTGCCTCTCAGTCTCAACCACCTTCTGCTGGTGTTGTAAGCCAACCGTCTGCCTTCACTCAGGTGCTGGCTCAGGTCTCCAAAGCTCCCACTAGCATCCCGGCTGCTTCCTTAACAGGACCTACCCTGTTTGGGCTGTCAAACCAGCTCAGCACCACCTCTGCTCCTTCAGCCTCCACCGCTGCTGCCCCCGCCAGCAGCTCCCAGCCTGTCAGTACCACAAACCCTCTTCTGACTGCGGGGTTCAAGCCCATCTTTGCTGCCGCCACCACCACCTCCTCAGCTGCAGCCTCTTCAGAAAGCAAACCTCTTCTCCACAATTTCAAGCCCATCTTTCCACAGCCCTCCCCCGTCTCAGCCACCTCCACAGCCTCCACCCTCTCTGCGAGCAGTACAACCTCGGTATTCAGTCTGACAACAAGTAGCTCCACCGTCGCCCCGTCTTCTTTCTCTGGGTTTAATAACACAGCTGCTGGCACCGCCTCTCTGGGCACAGTCACAACTAGCCAGTCTGCAGGCCAACCAGTGGCTAAATCCCTCTTTGGAAACTGGCCTGCTCCATCCACAACCAGCAGCGGCGCTGCTACGACGCAGCCCTCTAGCACAGGGAACACATTTCAATTTGGGGCTGCAGCCACCACCACTGCAGCAGCCAGTGCTGCATCTACAGCCACAACCACCACCTCTAATACGACGGGCTTCAGCTTTGGAAGCACGCAGCCTGATCCTCAGGCTCCTAAAGTGTTTTCCTTCGGTCAGAACACAACCAGCCAAAACACAACCACTGCTTCGTTTGGAGGCTTTGCTATGGCCAACACCACTTCCTCTGCTGCCCCCACCTCCACCACCCAGTCCACTTTCCCCTTTGGAAAGCCAGCGTTTGAAGCACCAGCGACACAGTCCACCTTCGGCTCCTCTGCTGCACCTCCAAACGCCTCCTTTACCTTTGGTACGGGTGGAGCTTCATCCACACCCGCCGCCACCGCCTCCTCAGCTCCAGCTCCTTTTAGCTTTGGGGCTGCTGCTAACACTGCTACCACCACTGCAGCTCCCAGCTTTGGGACTCCAGTTAAACCAGCTTTTGGAGCCACTGGTTTTGCTTTTGGCACCAACTCGTCTCAACCTCCAGCTGCACCAAGTTTTGGTGCAGTGACGCAGACACAAAGCTCCTCCTCGAACACGTTCGCGTTTGGAAATAGCGCCCCACAGCCGGCTCCCTCTGGATCGGCCCCCGCTGCCACTGGTGGGTTTAACTTTGGAGCCAGTATGCCATGCCAGCAGTTTGGGACTCCAGTTTCCAGCAATCCTGCTCCACAAATGGGAAGCTTCAACTTCGGGGCTGCGGCAGCTTCTGACAAACCAGCTTTTGGTGAGTTTTTTGAATGAGCTTAACATTTTTTTATATACATTGTGGCAGTTGCTATCAAGCCATTTTTTAAATTTGAAATCAGACCTTTTGCGTTTCTCTTTCAGGAAAAACTTAAAATACAAATCTTCCCTACAGCTATGGCAATAAAAACATCTAAGGTCCCATTTTGTTACTTTCGGTATCCTCTGGCTTTCTGAAAGGTTCTTTAATTTTGCTCAAAATGTATTTGTTCACATTTAAGTCCTTTAAAACTTTCCAAACGGTTGTGAATGTAATGTATGTAAATCTTAAATTTGTATCCATAAGTTGCCCTATTCTTTAGATTTTTTTATTTTGTTTCTAGAGAAGTCCTGATCCCATATTGATATCATATATGGATGTGATAGCAGCCAAAAGATTAATAGCAGATTTTACTGTATCTAAAATCTCCAACATTAGCATGCTGAAAGAAACCTTCTCCTGTTTAAAGTTTCTGTTGATCAGGCCTCTAATATTCTTCACAAAATAAGTAATAAAAGTAGGGATGATATGTGATATCGGTAATGTTTTGTAAACGAAAAAGGTCTATTGGGACATATATTCCTTAACTTTTTTGGCCCTGAAGATTTGGGGTGTTTGATCTGAAGTTTTCAGCTGTTCTATGTTAAAATGACACGCCTTATGATGCAGGAGAAACTATTTGATGTGTTGTAGGCACTGCAGTTGTGTGTGAGTTTTGTGCCGTTTCTTTCTGCAGGGACATCGACTCCGTCATTTGGCCAGGGTGCTACTCCAGGCCCCCTTCCCTTCGGAAGTCCTGCAACTCCAGTCCAAGGCTTTAATCCTGTACCCTTCGGTAGGTTATAATGATGGGCCTTTTTCTGTATCCATTTAGGTCAAGATAAAAAAATCATCAAAAGCAGCTGCCGGCTGCCATTTTTAGCTTTTAACTAATCTTTTATCAATAATAATCAGTTATAAACAATTTCAGTAGAATTATGTGCTCTGTTGATTTGTTTTTTTTTTTCTTCAAAACCAGAGCTCAGGTTGCACTGAAATTTGAATGTGTTTATTCCTCAGGAAATAAAAAAAGAAAATATTATTATTGTGATTGCGCTTTAGGCGGATTGATACCAGAAGTGGATACGATCCATTTATAGACAAGATAACTGGTTTTAAAGGAACTTTTTGATCCAACTTTGGTAATTAATGTAATACAATTCAATTAGAAAAGATACATATTTAATATATGATATTTTTGTAATATTAGTGCTTAAACCTTGACTACGGAGAAGTTTGTAATAAGGAGGCTCAAACAGGTTAGTATCTAGTTCCACTAGCATCTGTGTTAGCATGCAGTCGCTCATTAGCTTATGCGGTGTGATTGTGGAACATAATGAAATGATCAAATCACACATCATTTAGCAGGAACCACTTTCCCTTCACTTCCACACGTAGTACAGATGTACTGATAAAGCTGAGAAGTTAGACTCAGGCGGCAGCTGTATGTGGTTCTTTAACAGCAGAATATCAGGCCTGACGTAACGTATGATCGAAGGGGACTTTTACAACTTAGGAAGCAACAGGAAAACAATGATGAACAGGGCTTTATAAAAGGATGAACTGCAGGAGATCCAGCTAGAACTTTCAAGGTAGTCAATTTGACAGTTCTGAGATTTTGAAGTGAAAGAAATTTATTTGTATTAATCTTATGCTGGTCACGTTAACTGACTTCTCCTGATTCTATATTTCCCTCATTTTCACATTGTTTTTTAAATTAAAATAAAAAAAATATATATATATAGCTAATTTTACGTCGATCTCCTACAGCTGTTATGTTGATGGCTCTATTAGTTGCATTGTAAATTCTTCCCCTGTTGGCTAGAAACCAACATTCTACCAAGAAATCTCTGGAACTCTTTGGCTAATATGGAAAAATAGCTTTGGGAAGAAAGATAACTGAGAAACAGGCTTTAGAAATGCTTCAAAATATATATTTTCAGATGGAGATGGAAAGACTGATGATGAAGACTGTTTGGTAGGAAGCGGCAGATGTATCAGTTACACATCAGACAATAGCAAAACTTTTGTTCAAGGTTCGTATAGCACTGACCACACCTCAGCCGGTACACTTAGCGGCACAAAATGCAAACCAAAGCCTGTGATCTACAATAATCACACAAAGATTGGCATTAAGTCTTTCTGGATCAGATGATTAGAAAGTCTTCTGTAAAAGCTCCAACTCGAAGGGGGGCTGTGGTTGTATTTTACAATCTCCTGGACATAGCAGCTATAAACGCCTTGGTTTTGTTCGGGAGCTGTTTGAACGTCACCGTCTCACCCAGAGATTTTATCCTTGAACTGGTAAAACAGTGGGTGTCAACCACACACGCCCCAGGGAGCCACTTGTTACCAACCCCTCCACTGCAGAAGAGCCAGCTTTGGCAAGGCAAAGAAAACTGCCAGCTGCGTCAGCGCTGCACAAAGGTGATGTGTGGAAAAAGTGCGGGAGTAATCAATTTCTGTAAATAAAATATTAATTTCAAGCTTTAAACCTGTGTAGTATAAAAAGTCTCCTTTATTTTACTCATTTATTTTTAATACAAAGTTAGACAACAAATAATAATAGCATATAATACAGCCTTTAAACAATTTATATTGGACCTGTTTTAAGGTTTAAATATCCACAATTGGTTAATATGACAAACTGGAACCCTTTAAGTCAATGAAATCACTACTCTTGGATTCCATCTGGAAAAATGCCACCTGTCAAATTGGCGGCCAGTTGGAGTTCTAGTAGGATCAGAATTCTGGGAGTCCTAATGTTAAATGTCCTCTGATGGTTGAAGAGCAGAAAGTTCTCAGCTTGGTCTGGAAGAATCTCAGTCCAGCCAGTTGTTCAATATTTACCTATTTTTATATTCATCCTGGGGCTATAAAGCAAAACAATGTCACCAGGTGAAAGACATCAGCAGTTAAATCTGTTGATTATTCTCCATCAGAACCAAATGTGAACAAGTATTTCATTTTCATCTTAATTCTAATGTTTTTTCCATCATGTAATTCCCAGGGTCCCCTGCGACTCCCACCTTCTCTATCGGAGCCGGATCGAAGCCGTCTGGAGCTCGCCAGAGGCTGCAGGCGCGACGGCACAACAGGAAGAAGTAGCCAACATTTCGAACGCATCCAGCGCCGTTATCAGAGGACGATGGCTCATCAGACTAATACGGCTCCATGGTTTTAGCTTCAACATCCTCCAATCGGGCTGTCACCATCCCCTCATGGTTTCCTTCCTGTCCTGTACGTGCTGGCCCAGACCATTGGGTTTGCAGAGGAGTTAAATTCCCCCCAGCTTCCTGAGTTCATGCTGCCTGAATAAGGGAACGTCTCGGCAGGAAGAAAGGATCCACAACAATGTGCTATACTTGAAGAACGACAGAACAGTCAAGTTTTTTTTGGTTCTGAACAGAAGTAAATCCAAAGTTTCTTTTTCCTCGTCACAGTACACAGACACTCCTACTGATTGCTTTAGAGGAGACGGCTGAGCGTCGACTCAGACGTTTATTTTTTTACGTGATCTCTGGTTTGTATGTTACCGAATGTTTGAACACATCGAGTCTGAATAAGAGAAGTGCACAGCTGATTCAGATGAGGTATATGCGTGAAAATGTAATTACATTTAAATTATTTTTTTAATTGGCGCTCTGACCTTGTAAAAGAATGAATGAATGACGTTTCTGCACTGAAGGTGCAGCTCGGCTTAATGTCTTAACGTAGTTTTTAGCAGGCTCTCATGCTCTGATTTCATACCAGTAAACATTCCCAGAGTCCTCCCATGGATGGCCTTTTTCCTTTTTCTCCCTTTTTACGTTTTGTTTTCCGAAGCGTTTGCCAACACTGATGTAACTAGCGGGTCAGTTTGTGATTAGGATGACTACTTCTGACCTGTGCAGACAAACCAAAGCCAACTGTTCAACTTCATGCCTGTGAAAAGAATCTGTGATTTCCGCTTCACCTTTAAATGCTGAGATGTATTTCTTTGTGCCAGACTACCTCTTTTTGTTTTTAATCCCAGGCACTGAAATGTTTTGTTGATTGATGGATTGGGTTTCAATTTTAGCTACTGAGCTGTGCACATGGATTCAAAATATCTGCACAATTCATTACTCCCGATTTCAAATATGTTGTTGTTACAGTGGTTTACTCAATGTTGACCTGGCGCAAGGCTGTTTTCAAACGGACTGGATTGAGACAGTTGTGTACTCACGTTTGGCTGAAGTGTTAGGATACGAGGAGTTTGTTTTTAATGTATTGCACCATGTTTTCTGGACATTTTTGTCGGGTCTTTATTTCAGGTCGGCTGTTTCATCAAAATGGTTTGTTTTCTCGGTAATAACCGCTCTTTTTGTGAGACCCGAATAGCATCTGAGTTAGTTTATGGCATTTTTTTTCCCTGAATAAATAAAATCAGAGTTTGATAATTGAATGTTCAGTCTTAACATAAATCTCTTAAGTTTTGGGTGTTTTTCAGAGTTGGGTGATTGGTGTCTTGATTTATTTTTAAGTGAATTGATTGTAGGACTACACTTTGTTAAATTGAACATAAAAATGTGTAAAAATGAAAGAGCTGTCTGTATTCAACTATTAACAGACATCCAGTGTTTAGATAAGATTCCGCATGATATGAATGAAGATGGCTTATGTTCCCCATGTCACCAAGTGATCCTTGAAGGTGATTCATGGCAGCAGGACCTTCACACAGGTGGGGTTTTAAAATTCATAATGATTTTTTTAGGTTTCTGTCAGAATATATTGGATTATCTGGAAGGTTTCCATGTTTGGAAAATGAAATGGTTACCCATGTCTGATCAGCTTTGCAAGATGTCCAGCATCTTCTCAGTTTATAATAGACCTCATGTGATCCTAAAGAACAATATTAAAGTCATTCAGAATTTTTCAAAAACGTTAAACCAACTTATCAGTACATTTTAGATTTTACTTTACACATTTAACTGATTCAGAAGTTGGCAAATAAAGTAGCTGTATAATTGCTCCAATAGCTGATTTTGTAATGTCAGATCTAGAGATGCATTTCTATGTGCATTCTAATACATAAATATTTTTCTGTCATCTTCCATAACTGAATAAGACATTGAACAGAAGAGAAGACAGTTCTGCATTTTGTAACTCAAATTTAGTTATTTTCAGTGTGTGTTAATGCTTCAGGACTAAAGACGGTGCTAAAGTGTCAGTGACCAGAAAAATGTCCTCTTATTTTATTTTGTATCGCCACAAAAAAGTCAAGTTGGTAACAATCTGAAAGAGGGTGTTACATTTTTTATATGTTTTCAACCACAGTGGATATTTTGACAAGATATATTCCTTAAAAGATCAAATGGAATATAAAACTTTAATTGGCAGAGGTTCTGACCTCCAGATAAACTGAATTAAAAGACTGTATTTGGCTATATTTTCGTCTTACCTTTACTGAACTTTATATATAATTTCAAACAGAATAACATTTTCTCCTTTATAATATATTAACCAGTCTTTGTTTTTGCAGCCCTCAGCAGTTTTCCCACTTCAAATGTTGCTGCATAAAAACGTAACTTCATTTCTGGGTAATTTTTTATGTATTTTGTGATCAATAGGCAAAATATTCTAATGTCGAAGAAAAGTAGCCTACTTAATGCTTATTACTATCATAGCATGTTGAACATCTGTAAAAAATACAGGAGCCTGTAAATGTGATAATGCTTCAGTTTTCAACATTTGATTTAAATACATCCAATAAGCAGGAACATTTTATTTAGATTTTTTTTTTTTTTGTCCAACATTTGAGCATGAAGTTGTATCAAAAATACTAGTTAAGTGATGTAAACTGTTCCATTCCTGCCCTCTAGGTGTCCCTCTAGGCTATCTTGGTTGTTCATGATGCATTTGTGTAAAATCAAAAATCACACTTTTATGCATACCAGTGAAATCTGCAACACAAACTAAGATTATAAAATTATTTTATGTTTCCTTCAAACTGAACCTGTGGCGAATCCATAATGTATATTAAGAATTGGGGCGCCATTAAATATGTATTTCTAAAAACCGTCGTCGGTTTTTTTAGGAGGAAATCTTCGGCGAGTCCTTCCAAATCGATTTAATGAACGGAGCAAAATTAGCATAATGAATGTACTAAATATTAACAATATTCTGCCAGTAGTGCTATTTGAGGTAATGATCTGAAGCTCACGAATCCCTTTTTTTTATTTTTTGGTAATCCTGGTGGATACGAGCTGAGTTTAATGTCCTTGAATCCACCATTCACGCGACAATCTGGCGCGCATGCGCATTGTCTTTTTAGAATGGGCTAACTGTTAGCGTTGTAAAAAAATACGTGGCATACGTTTCAACATGGAGATAGCCGCACTTTTTGCCCTGACTTTATTACTGGGTGCACTTGTTATTTTGGTCGCTTTGGCGGTGGGAAAGAGAAAGGAAGAGGTAAAGGAGCAAGCAGAGCAGGCTGCCGAAAGTTCAGGTGAGAGAAGCTCGGAGCTCATGTAGTCGGCGGCGGCGGCACCGACTGTCGGAGATTCATCTCCGCCTGTCCCCCGGATGACTCATTCATTCTTTATTTATTTCCTGTGCAAAAGAAAGCTATTTTATACTAAGTACCAGCCCTGAATTCAAATAAATTAATTGGGGAAAAAAATATACAGAAACTAACTTTTAGTCACCTGCTGCTGACCAATGGTGTAATGTTTTATTCAGCGACCAATGGGAGCACAGCTTTGTGCTGCGTAACGACCGCTTCATTCATAGCAAAGATCACAAAGACTGGCAGTGAAGGATGCTTGTGTATTTTATCAGCATTTAGAAAATGATTTGAAATTAAAAAGCGGTTTAAACATGATACATTACACAGTTATCCTTATTATGTTTTCTTGAAGTAATTAATTTGGAAATATTTAATATAAAATCCAAGGCAACTACAACAAACAAGCCTATCTACACAAGCAGATGTTATATTATTATTACCCCATTTTCATATTTTTTTCCCTATGTAGAAAAATTTAAATGATCATATATATATATATATATATATATATATATATATATATATATATATATATATATATATATATATATATACATATTAAAACACCCACAAACCTTTTGTATATTTTCTCGTGCTTTAGCTGAAGCAAATGCTCCAAAAGGCCCAACATCCAAAAAACAGAAGCAAGAGAAGCAGCGGAGCCGTAAAGATAAACCGACACAACACAGCTTCAGCCACCCGTTGCTGGCAGCTTCCCTCAAGGTAACCTGAAAGCACTAAACACCCCAAATACCTGTCCTTTATGCTCTTCTCTGCAGAGGCTATATTGGTATCTTCTATTACTGTTTGTCTTCAAACAGCGCAATTCACACCACCAATAAATTAATGATGTCGATAGTTAAAAGCACGTTTTTGGGATGCATGAGTTGGAAAGGTTATGGTTACCTTTGTGATCACACCCTCCATGTTTCATTTTGTTCTCCTTAGGGCCACAGCGGCAATGTGACATGCCTTGATTTCAGCAGCAATGGGAAATACTTGGCGTCCTGCGCCGATGACCGCACCGTTCGGATCTGGAGCACCAAAGACTTCCTGGAGCGGGAGCACAAGTGTCTGAGAGCCAACGTGGAGCTGGATCACGCTACATTGGTCCGCTTCAGCCCAGACTCCAGGTCTCATCCTTTATCCAAGTTCCTGAAATATAGAGAGAAGAAAAACTAACTTTACACAGTGCCCCATTTTGCTGAGCATTGCACCTTTTTTTTTTCATTTTTGATTTAAGTTCCTTAGCATATAGTTTGTCAAACACCATTGTGTTCATAATCATTTAAATACTTGGATTTTTTATTCTATAAAGAGAAAAACATTATTTGTAATAATTACGTTGGTAATAATTAAAGAGACAGAAACCATGGCCTCTGTAGAAAAATAGTTCCCCCCTAAACCACTAACTGGCTGCACCACACTGGCTCCACCTGCTAACACCAGGGGTTTGTGGGAACTGTCTCATAGACTTTTACTTATTGCTTTCAATTAGTTTTGCAAACTGTATTTATTTTAGCCCCATTGGACGGCTATAAAGCACAAATGCATGAGCACATCAATTTAATTGAAGTCTGGACTTTGACTAGACCAATTTAAAACCATGACTTTAAATATTTTCCCCCAAGGTCCTAGGAATCAACAAGATGTTTTCTGGCATATGTTGGACAGGTCAGACAGGTTTTATAAACAGTGGATTCTCCAGGTTGGTCAAGGTTCAGTCCTGGGTGTGGTTAGTGAAGTTGATCTAAAAAAATTATTAATCACAGTTAATTCATGATCTAAGGTGAAGGATAACCACTTTCAACTTGGGGTCAAATTGGTATAGTTACCCTTTAAACATTTAATAGATAAAAGTATTATTTTTAAAATCATTTTTTTAGATTGTATATGGCTTTCATTGTCTTAAAAGTAATTTGATTTCAACCATAAAAATAAGCACAAGAAGGAATCAGCTTGGATATGAATACTTCTTTTCCACATATGGAAAATAACTTATTTGCGAGCAGAAGATCTAAATGGAGTTCATGTCCTTGTCTGTTCTCCTGCAGGGCGTTCATCACCTGGCTCGCCAATGGAGATGCTATTCGTATCTTCAAAATGATCAAGAAGGACGATGGGACCTTTAGCTTCAAAGCCGCCTCTGAGGATTTCCCGCAGAAACACAAAGCGGCCATAGTGAACATCGGTATCGCAGAGACAGGTGCAGAACACATGTGGCAGGCAGGACTGATTATAAAGGATTGGAGTTTGCACAGTTGTAAAGATCCTAATTGTTTGATCTCTACAGGCAAGTTCATCATGAGTGCCTCCACAGACACCACCATCCTTATCTGGGATCTGAAAGGAGAGCTGCTGGCCTCCATTAACACTAATCAGATGACTAATTCTTATGCAGCCATCTCTCCCTGTGGCAGGTCAACAAACTTTTCCACCTGAAACATTTATTGCAGCCCTTAATTAGATCTATGAGGCTTATGGTCTCTGCTTATGTTCTCAGGTTTGTAGCGTCCTGTGGTTTCACTCCAGATGTGAAAGTTTGGGAGGTTTGCTTTGGAAAAGGAGGCGAGTTCAAAGAAGTTGCAAGAGCGTTTGACCTGAAGGGCCATTCTGCAGGAGTTCACGCGTTCGCATTTTCAAATGACTCTCACAGGTAATTTTTCTTTTTCTGAACCTATGAGGAAGGGTGTTTGTAATTTGTGATAAAATAAATAATGCAGTGTGAGGTAGTAAGGTCAAGGATGAGCAAGGTGAACAAAAAAAAAACAGCATCAGCCACCTGTTCCCGATTATTCTGATAATTTTATTTGGTAGTTTTAACTCTGACAACCATTCACCCTAGCTTCCAAGAACTCACTGTTTTTATAACTAATGGGCTCTATGCACAGCTCCACTACTTCCTGAATTTAAGGCAGCTCCTTTGTTTCCTGTCTTTCATTACTGGATGAACTGATTAATCCAGGTGTGTCTGGCCAGTTACTTAGGTCATACACACCTGGATTAATCAGTGCATCCAATCATGAAAGACAGGAAACAAAGGAGCTGCATTAAATTCAGGAAGTAGTGGAGCTGTGCATAGAGCCTATTGGCAACAAAGCTTTACTTGAGTGGACTAAGCCACAATTAAACAGGTAGAAAAAATGGAACAAAGTCTAAACTGAGGAGAATTAAATTATTAATCAAATTTACAAACTCATCTACATAATGAAAGGGTTTGCAAAATAAACCATGTATACAAGATAATTTAAAAAGTTACTTTAAACAAAGCATTACTCCAAAGAAAACCGTCTAATTAGTAGAACCCAGCAAGGTAATGAATGACATCATCCGGCCATTTTAGCAGGAAATACTGGGACAAAGAATAGTCAGTTAAATGGAAAACAAATACCATGAATATACTTTGAAACAAAATATACAAGTTCAACTAATAGTCCAGAAGTACTAGCTTTATCTTAAACATATAAATAGATGGAAACTGCAATAAAAGCACTGAAGTTACAAACTAATGTTTAAATCTAAGCATTAGGAATCGATAATAAAAATAATGGACGAGTAATGAACACTAACTGAACCACTTTGTCACATGCAGAACTTATTTATATTTGTAAATGATCTATATTTATTGAATGTATTAAACAAGAGTGAAAGCACCAACATGTATCTAACAAAAATGGTGCTTTTCCACAAGTTGTCTTGGAACCAAAACGATGTAAACAGATCTCCTATAGATAAATTCCCACATTTGGTTTGTAAAACATTCACGAATTTAGATATTTGTGAATCATTTGATACAGTTATTAAACTTTTTGTGTATTGGATTAACACCCTTCATGTGGTCAAACAAGATGGTAGCAGCATCATGCTCTTAGGATGCTGTTATTTAGCAAGGGAAGGGTAAATGGACAGAGTTGAGAGGAAGCCTGTGGAGCTAATCCTGGAAGAGAAATTGGTGGAGGCTACGAAAGTGTCTTTCAGTAGCTTATTTGGATAATTTAAATAAAAGCTTAAATATTCAAAGAAGCAGGGTGAACTGCTGTATAATTGTGGAATCCAATTCCTCTAAATAGAAGAAGTGTTTAATGATGGATCTCTCCCCAACAATAGGCTGTTTTAGGTTGTTTTTTCAGGGTATTTAAGAATCCCATATGTTGAATATAACCCGCCCGCCTTCTTTTCCTTCACCAATCAGAATGGTGACTGTGTCTAAAGATGGAACATGGAAGCTGTGGAACACAAACGTGGAGTACAAGAAGCAGCAGGATCCGTACCTCCTGAGAACCGTTTCCTGCTCCTCCTCCGAAGGCAGCAGAGTGGCGTTGTCTCCGGATGGCCGCGTGGTTGCCATCAGCGATGGCTGCAACGTGACAATGTTTGACGCCACCACTGGGACTCTAGAGGAGGAGCTGCGCGGCGTCCACAGCGAGGAGATCACAGACCTCAGATTCGACATCAACAGTCGCTTCCTAGTTTGCAGCGGAGACAAGGCCATCAGAGTGTTTCACAACACGCCGGGTTACCGGGCGGCCATTAGGGACATGAAGGACATGCTGAAAAAGGCCCAGAATGAGGCCATGAAGCAGAGACTCCAGCAGCAGATCAAAGAGGCTCAAAGTGCTCTGGAGACTGTGCTAACAGCTTCCGCCGAGTGAGCGAATGCCCAAAGAGCCATGCTGGGATAGTCTACATTAGTTCTGTTTTTTCTGTGTGTTTTTTTTTTGTTTGTTTGTCAAAAAAATACTGAAATTTGCATGTAATTTTAATAAAATTGTCTTTTTATGGAAGGATTAAAGGCAGTGTGTTCAAACATGTTGGTGTTTTGAATTTTTCTTAGTAACGGAATATGAGTAAAAATGGCCCCATTGATAAAGTGTAACTAAAAGATAAGTCAATAAAAAAAAAAAAAACTCTTCATCAAAGAAGGTTTAGCCCAGAGAGAGGCTTCTGCAGAGATTCCTAGTTAAGATGAGATCATGTGTTTATAGCACAACCTAGATTATATCTCCTAAAATTTAATTCCTTAGAGGTATACTGGAGGATGTTCTTTTTCCGGGTGGAACATCAAAAGACCTAATTGTCAATCATTCTGGTGATGTGTTTACGTAAAGCCATCGTACGTGCTCATCCCCATATTCACTTAAGTCTGACATAGTTGAAAAATTGCAAATCTTTTGGAAAGTAAGCTTGTATAAAAGATGCAAACAGCAACGTTTAAACAGCTTTAACGGACGTGTCTTCTCAAAAATGTGCTCTATAAACACATTTGTTTAGGATTGCCTTCGACTGTTGTAGTTAAAAAGTTCAACTGAAACATAATTGGTTCATTTTTTCAATTTTCTTTAATCCAACTGCTTTTAATGTTCTTTCTTGTTTCTGCATTTTTTCTGATTTATTTTTTCTACTTGCTATGATTCTGTTTTGTTTTCCTATATTTTAATCATGTAAAGCACTTTGCATTGTCTTTGTACTGAATCGCGCTATACAAATAAATTTGCCTTGCCTATAACCAAAAACAGGACAGAAACCTGGTAGATATGTGATAAAGGACAATTTTCAGATTTTAATTGTATGCAGAACTTTGATAACTGTCCAACAGCTTCCATCAGCTTTATAACAGAAAAATTGTCACACACAAAAAAATATATATAAATACTGTACTATAAAGTGTTTTAACAGTATAAATACACCTGTGCACCTGGAGAATAAATAACCAACAGGCGGTGGACATTTTTACAGTAATAAATATTTTAACAGCAGCAACATTAGAGCAAAAAGACAGCATTATGTTATTTAACTGACTAAGAAGCTGTGCAAAAAGCAGCATGAATGTAACAACTTATTGAGGTTGTTGGGAGCAGTGATGGTTATAGAGTTTTACAGCTGGTGGGAGGAAGGATCTGTGATAATGCTCCCTGGTGCATTTAAGGTGCAGCAGTCTGTCACTGAAGGAGCTCTCCAGTTCTGCAACACCTTTGTGCATAATGTGCATTAAAATGGGTTGGTCTGTCACATAAAAATCTGAGTAAGATATGTTGAAGTGTTTAGTTTAGTTAACGTAGGGCATGTTATATTTCCAAGATATCAAGTTGACTATAATCCCCCTTTTTATTTCTCTCAGCTTATATACATATCTATTTTAAGGTTGAAGGAGTTGCTTTGTTGTTCTAAAGAAAAAAGAAACACATTAATTGATTACATTTTAGCATAGATATAACCCCACCTCATATTGGTGTCTCCCTTCCAGAGTGTGTATGTAAATATAACTCCAACTGTTAGCCGCCCCGCAGTGCACGCCGGTTTGTAAATGAAGCACACCCCACACTAGCTTGACCCGGAAGTGATTCTTGTTCGTACTGCACGTTGTAGAGCAGCATGGCCTGCAGTCCGTGCTGGGTGTAAGATAGCAGATGTCTGTAGAGATGGTGGAGGTCTCAGTGAGACCAACGCAGCCCCCCCGGCCTGCCGGGATCCTGCAACAGAACCGGGTCTTCCTCGACTTCTTCTGGGACCTGGCCAAACCGGAGCAGGAGGTCCGGCTGAAGGCGGTGGAGAACCTGATCCAGTACCTGAAAACAGAAAACAAGGTGAGAGAAACACACAGCATGCCACCCAGCAAAGTTAATAAACCGTGTCACCGCTGAACCAATAGAATTAATCACTCTAAGATCCACTATTTTAAAGAATAAAATCTTTATCTGACAGGAATTTAAAGGATTTCTTTATATTCAATTAACAAAAATAATCTCTAAAAACGTTATGCTAAACTGGAGGTAAAAAGGCTGTGTCCAGCCCCATGTCTTCTAATACCCCTAAATAAAATCCACTGCAGCCAACTGACTTAAGAGAAGAAACAAATAAGTAGAAAGATTCCAACTGAATCTGATAGGTAATCTGCATCTTACTCTGATTACGCTATTGGCCTTTTAAAACATGGAGATGGCTGTATCATGATGCGGGGAGGATGTTACCCACTGGTGACCGGGATGTTGTTTAGAGTGGATGGAGCTAAAAAAAATAAATAAGACCTGGAAGAGAAGATTTTAGAGGCTGAAAGGATTGAGTGTTGGTCAAAGGGTCACATTCCAACAGAAAGACCACCATAAACATACAGGGAAAAATGTGCATATGTTATCCAAATGGGCTATAAACATGTATTTGGATTATATACTAATGTTTATGAGGTTTATAACTAAAATAATGAACTTATAGATGATTAGAGTGTACTTGTGGAGTTGGAAATATATAGAGATTAAGTGTTGCTCATGATGCTTTCTAACTCTCTATGCTGCAGGCTGATGAGCTGGAATACACCTTTAAAAGGCTGGTGGACGGACTGGCCCACACTCGGGAGGCAGCCAGACCTGCGTTCAGTCTGGCTCTGGGCCAGGTTAGTGAAACACCAGCTTGATTCCTTTAAATTCATCCCAATGAGCAGAAAATAAATGGCTTTTCTCCCTAAGGTGTTAAACGCCTTTGAAGATGTCTCCTTGCAGAGCATACTCCAGAGGATCAAAGAAAAACATAACCTGCAAGCTGTGAAAAAGGTACGTTTTGGTCCATTTGATTTATACTAGAACAGAAACCTTCATTTAAAGAACATTTAAACACCAAAACCTTGTTTGTTTTCTAGAAACTTGCCAGAAATGCCATGTTTGGAAACCTGTTTGGCGTCCTCGCTCTTCATCAGTCGGGACGCCTCGTCAAAGTAAGTTTACTTCTCAGTTAGATTATGAAAGGCTGTAAAGACCCGAGTAAGGGTGTTAATTTAGCTTCCCTTTTACCAATTGTTCATTTCATGTTGGAAATACATGAAAAAGGTTTTGCACATGTAAAGTACAATGATAATTTTTGATTATTAGCTTGAAGTCAGGCTTTCAACAGACATGTTTATGGGAGGAATGTTAAGAAATGTCCCATTTATTTGGAATATAACAATAAAAAAATGATGGTGGAGCAAATGTATAGAAAGCTGTTTGTCTGCAGGAGCCCCAGGTGGTGCTGGGATGTGTGCAGCTCCTTCAGAGCCTGAGCCAGCACAAAGAGCACCTAAAGGACCTACCCAGCAAGACCATGACAGACATCCTCACTGAGGTAACAGCAACATCTTGGTGGCATCTTCATAATTCCCACTGCTGCGAGTCGTTTTCTATCCTTTCCTCTGCTTATTTATGGCCCCCCCGCCAGATACCAGAGGTGGTGTTTGAGGAGGTTCTGCTAAGCGCTCTGCAAGCTGACTTGGCGTCGGCCTTTAGGACTCCGGAGCAACTCCACCTGCTGCTGGTGGCGCTGCAGCGCTTCCCACAGACGCTTAAACCAAAGAAGCTTAAGAAGCTCCTCGGCTCCTCCACCATCATCAATGCAGACAACATCCCAAAGTAAGTTAGTTCTTTTCATTCAAAGGTTTTTAGAAAGTAATTGTTTAAGGAATAAGAAGCTAGAACCACCATAATACTCATCGGTTTAAAATGTATATGTAAACCAAACTAGAATGCAATTTTATTTCGGAATAGACACAAGTTAAAGTTTATTAGCATTTATTCTGATTTTAAAAATGCAACCTTAATTTAAGACATTTGTTAAACAAAAAAAAATGTGTAAGCCTGAATTGATCATGTGGTTTCCAATTTGCAAAACCAATTGAATTGTTTTTTTTTTGTTTTTTGTGACCAGTTTGATTCTTCAGAGCTCAGCATAATGTTGTAACATAGAAAAAAAAAAGACAATGTGTGATAAGAAGATAATCTTAATCATCCTAAGGAGAAATTTAGGACCCTTACTGGAATTAGGACTTGACCCTCGGCCAGGACGTTCCGTCATGTGTTCACTCAGCTGTTTGCCAATCCTTTGTATGGCAGGTTAGTGGAGGTGTTGAAGATGGCAGCCCGCTCTGTGAAAAAGGACCTTGCTCTGCCCTCTGTGGCCTTGGACCTACTGAAGCTCTCCTTGAAGGAAGACAGCTTCCAGCTTTTCTGGAAGAAAGCCATCACTGAGGGAATGTTCAAGGAGCCGTCCGGACCGACACAGTGAGTGCATAAACCTAAAGAGAATAGCAAGTAGGGACTAAAAATATATTTATTTTATCAAATAAATTAGGATGTAATACTATGAATGAATATAAACTTCGAAAAAATCCTCCACAGCTGTTAGAAATGATCTATGTTCCTAAAGGTATAGGTAGCAACTATACCTGCTCTTCAGTTCCAGGGTTATCAGATCTGTGCGTTTCTGTGCCCAAAACAATGTAAGACTCCATCACCTCTATAAAAAAACAAAACAAAAGAACCAGGATGAATTCCTCTGAAACTTCTGTTAAAACCACAAACCTATAAAACACCTTATACAGGATGCAGAACCACGTTATTACCATGAAGTTAGCCTCTAACTGAGGTACTACAGAAGCTAATAACAATTAGCTGTAGCTCATAATGTGCAGCAGCAGAAATCTAGAATTTAATCTCCACATCCGTCTCTGAGTTCTTTTGTGAATATTTCTTTAATTTCTCTTATCTTACCTACATCTCTGCTGAGATGTAGGTAAACCCAGCTGCACATCTCTGCTGAGATGTGCAGTTGGGAGCGACATTAGCAGCTTCGGCTATGATTGGCTCTTAGTCTGGCTAATGTTCTCTCTCTCCTCTGGGGGCAACGACTCTTTGCAGCTGGTCACCGTAGTTTTTCACTGAACAACCAAGCGAGTCTTTCAGTGGAACAAAAATAAAAAAAACCTCCTTCTCAGAATGTTCCAAGCACTGAAGAGATACCCTGGAGCCATCCAACATCTCCCGATCTCATCTGATATGCTTCACCCACTTTGAAATCAGCTCAGGATCCTCAGGAAGCTTAGATAAGCTGATGCCATTCTTATAGTGGTTGAAGCAAAAATCTACAATCCAAAATGAAGTCTTAATTTTAATCCATGAAAATTTCAGTGGGTTTCCATAAAAAAAAAAAAAACACTGTTCCATCTCTGTCGTTTCTCTTATCCCTAACTATTTTCCGCCTTAGCCCTCTCAGGCTCAAATTAAGTTGTGGTTGCAGGAAAAATCTGATATTTGGAGAAAATGATCATATAATGTAGTAATATACAATTCAGACTTTTGTTTTTGAGAGAGACCTTCGTATGCAATGAATTCTGGGATGTTGCAGATTTGCAACAGTGGCCCGGAGCACTGAAGATTGAATCTGATATGAACGTTAACTTTATTTGAATGTCACAAACAAAAAATTACAAAACAAAATTCGAAAAGACATTCGAGACAAATTTTTTAAAAACTTTTTCTCCACCGACATCTCAAAACCTCTTGAGAAGGCCGTTTCTGATAAACTGTTGCTCAAAATATAGGCAAACTAGTAGATAAAGCATGTAGCATCCATTGGTACCTGTTTGGGCACACGTTGCGAATCCACAACTTTGAAATCAAGATGCCTCTGGTGAAAAACCCAGAGGAGATCAAATCTACTAATTGGCATGTGTCATATCTATAAACATTCATGATTCATCTTATGTAGTATTGATTTCAAAATAATGGAAATTGGTAGTGATACTTACATGAAATTGGTGCTTAGAAAATCTGTTTCAGTGACACCAAGGACTCAGCCATGTTGAAAGTGATTCAGCTGTGCTATCTGGTGAGCTGGAGAGAAACTGTTGCAAATGCACAACTAAGTCCTTCTGTTGTACTTCTGAGTAACAAAAGCTCTTAAAATATGGATGTGGAGTAATTAGCTAAGTGGGATTTAGCTGTTGCAAATCTGCAACATCTGCCTGGAGACGGTTAGTCACTAAAGGCTAGTTTATACTCAGAAACTGTCACAGTTAACGCCCGCCCCTTCCGCAGATCCTCTGGTGCACCTATCCAAAATTGTTGGTGACCACAGACAATTTTGGAGGAGGCCTCTGATTGGTCAAATCTACATCCGCTCACTGCGACACACTGCTGCGGGAGGATAACCAGGCCTTCAGCGGTGCTAGAGTCCTCTGAATTGTTTTTAATTAAAAACTTTTTTATTGTTTTAGTCTATGAAAAGTACTAGAAATGTCAATATCGTGTCATCAGCACAAATGTTCTTAATATTCATTCCTAATGTTTTTAATTCTTCAGGCATCACGTCTAATGCTGTGCTTTTCTGTGGTCGACCCTTCTCTCTGCAGTTTCCTGAGCTTCCGTCTGCTGGGCAGCGCACTGCCTCTGCTCTCCTTATCCCAACTACAGGAGGTTTTATCCGGAGAGGTGATGTTGCACTACGGTGAACACGTAGTTTCAGCTCAGGTCAGTTTCCCCAAGCCCCTGCTGTGCAGGTTTCAATTTTCCTTATGAAGTAAATGAACTGTATGCTCTAACGTTATGTGGAAAAAGACATGAACATTCTGTTTGAGACTGAAGTCAGCTATTAATCTGTACATTCTCTGCTTAAAATCTATAGAAAATGTCTGGGCTTTGATATCCTACAAAATAACTTGAACATTGTGGACATTCTATATACAATTCTTGAGTTTTAATGTGGGAAATGTAGGAAAAAGCTGAGGTTTCACATAACCCAAACTATGATGTTATAAACAGGATGCTAATTCTGAAATGGCTCTTCATTGCTAACAGAGAAGTGAAAACTGTCTATTAGCACATAAGCTAATAATACAATTATCTATAAAGATGCTCATCACCTAGTTTATAATTAGTAACAAGTTAACTTAAGGGAGGCCCTGGGTTTGAATCCCCGCTGGGGGGGAATGAGCTCCCAGTGTGGGCCCTTAGGCAAGACCCTTTACGCTAATGCCTTCTTTGTAAGTTGCTGTGGATAAAAGCGTCTGCTAAATGCATAAAACTTTGGCTTTAAACAGCGAACATTATCTATAATGCTTCAGCATTGTAGCATGTAGCTAGCTCATAGGCTACATTAGCTAAATGTTTTCAAAACGAAGCTTGTTTTGAAATATAAACAAAGCCAGATTTTCCACCAATTGCTGAGCAATTACAGGGTTTCTGCAAGTCATTAAAAATCATTAAAAGTAATTAAATTTTTATTTTTGAAATTAAGGCCTTAATTGGCATTAAAACTCATTAAATATGATTATCGTGGCATTTAAAATGCCTTATTAAAAAAAAAGTCTATAAAAACAATTTCGTCAGCTACATCGCAATATATTTGCGTGGAACTGCTTCTGGTTGTTCATAAAGTCGTTTGTTCGGGAAAGAAGCTCAAGGCAGAGAAAAAGCTAGAAAATGGGAAATTGTGAATTTCCACAAAACTGGCTGGAAAACGAGGAATTCAGGACATGGCTGCAGCCTGTCGAGGGTAAAGATAACGAAAGATTTCACCGTGTATATATGAGAGTCATGAGTACTTGTTGATGTCATTAAAATTATTTCTAAGAGCATTAAAAAGCATTAAATAAGAGTTACTCATTCCTGTATAAACCCTGAATTAAAACATTCACACTCTTGTGTCTCAAAAAAACTACTAAATGGTCTTTTAAGCACTATTTGTTCAAACATAGACAGGAAGTTATGAAACTACAAACCGAATAAAAGAAATTAATGGTGATCTAAGGTTGTTGCACAGTAAAAGGGCACATATATTTATTAATCCTAGTAGAAAAAGGTTTTGATTAGTTGTCATGCCGACTTTTTAAAAGAAAGTATTTTGTATAAACAAATTTTGTATAAACCAATTATCACCTGGAAACCATGTTTTTTGAAATTACCTTTATTTTAAAATAGATAAAAATAAATGAACATAATTTGAATTATTTAGATTGAAACTATGTGAATGATTCAATTCAATTCAGTTTATTTATATAGCGCCAAATTCACAACACATGTCATCTCAAGGCACTTTACAGTTCAACCAGATCATACAGTCAAATTGATACAAAGTTTTCTATCTAAGGAAAACCAGTTGATTGCATTGACTCATTGACTCAAATACAATCCCCCACACTAAGCATGCTTGTAGCGACAGTGGAGAGGAAAAACTCCCTTTTAACAGGAAGAAACCTCCAGCAGAACCAGGCTCAGTGTGAGCGGCCATCTGCCGAGGCCGACTGGGGTTCAAGGGGACAGAAGCAGAGATACAAAAAGCAGCTGTAGAAGGCGGCCCCGTCCAGGAAACACACAGCCAGGCAGACGAGCTCCAAGGCAGCTCCCATGCCAGAGGACAAAGAGAGCACATCCACTCAGTCACGGTCAGAGAAACAGGACCACACTGGAAAACAGGCCGATCTCCAACATCTATAAACAAGGGTGTTACTAGAAGCAGCACAGCTGATGTTTCTTTCCAGGATGACGTCACAGCCAAACAGGAACAGACGATTCAATTCAATAACTTCTGTCATTTTAGCTATAATAGAGACTGAACATGTTTTAACTTGTTCAGTCAGGGTTTTATTGATTTTTATTGACACATTTCTGTTAAAAGAACAAAACAACCTTTTGATAATTAGAATCGATGGTTTCACTACCTCAGAAACCGGACCGCTTTAAATTGGCCCCGGAGATGGATGCCTACGTGTCTGACTTCCTGCAAGGCTGTAAGGACTCTGAAAAACAGCAGGCTGTCATGGTGAGATTCTCCTCTCTGACCAACAATGGCTACCCAGTGGTGCCGTCGGTGTGGAGGACGGTGCAGCACCTGGAGCCTGCCGCTCTGCAGAGCTACGTGGACTGGCTCAAAGAGATGTTCCTGCAGCCTCGGACCGACCAGTTGCTTGACTTCAGCACCCGCAAGCAGAAAGACAAGCAAGATACCAAAGAGCAGTGAGTTTTACCCTAAAGGAGAATAATTGGATCAAATATCTCTTCTTGTGTTGACCATGTTGTTATCTCGCTCAGGAAAGAAAGCCCAATATTCCGCCTGAGGAGGTGGATTGTCGCCCGCCTCGCTTCAATTATTGACAACCAATACGTGAAAAAGACGGAGGAGCTTTGCATGGACGTGGCCAGGTGACACCAGCTTCTTAGCCAGATGCATTAAGGTCCTCTGTGGGTGTGAAGAGAAGTTTGAATTTGTGTTCTTTTGTCTCTTGTGCAGATTTGTCTTTTTCCATGCTTTCTTTACCACTAAGAAAGCTCCCGCCTCCAACATCGCAGAAACAAGCGGGAAACTTTCTGTCCCACTGGACGATAAAACCAGAGCAGCTCTTGTTAATTCATTCTTTGGGTGAGAAACACTTTTTTGCATTTTAGCAGAATAAAATGGCATTTCTTTATTTCAGTATTATATATATATATATATATATATATATATATATATATATATATATATATATATATATATATCTGAAGACGCTACACATCCTGGACACTACTTAAACTGTTATGTTTAGTCCTTTTTTTCATTACAAATTCATATAAATGTCAAAATAATGGTAATAGACTGTGTTGAAACATAACTTAAATAAGAAACTGTTGTGTAATAATGGGTAAAATCTCCATAGAAAGTTAATAACTGCCATAATTTTCCCTGAAAAAACCAAACGGAAGAAGAAAACGACAAACTGTGTGTGCCAACGAATGAGAATGGCCGTTTTTTTTAGTATCAATCATTGGACAAGATTTCTGACCAGAGTAACTAGAGAGACATTAATGGCAAATTTCCAAATTTGAATAAATGGGAGCGTTAAGGCTTTCCTTTCATTTGAAGGTTTAGTGGAGGATGTTTTTTTTTTCTGGGTGGAGCATAAAAATAAGTGGTCCTCCTAACTGACAATCATTCTGGTGATATGTTTACGTCTACGGCCGTCCTACTTGCTCGTCACCATTTTCACATACCGGTGGTGAGTCTGACATAGAGGGTCTTCATTTGGAAAGTAAGCTTGTATGAGTGATGCAAAGAGGAACTTTTAACCAGAGCATGCACGAGGAGAAATGGGCTCCTGCATGGTCTCATACATGTTTAATAGCCGGTCCCTGTCAGGGGTGGTTACAGCGTTGTCCATGTGAATTTTTGCGGGTCTTTTCAAAAATTCCCAAAAATCCTCCACAATATCTTTAATATAAGATTATAAAATGGTTATCAGCCTCAAGCTGATGTTATTTTTTACTTGGAAAAAAATAATAGCTAAAAAATGACACGTTAGGCTTCTGGGGAAGAAGACAGGAGATAGAAAAATCCATTATCTATGAAAAGTTATATAAAAAGTTCAAAATTTCAAATGACAATTTAAAGAAACAAAAGTGGATTGACATGAACTGGAAATAAATCGATTTAACTTGTTCCTTATGAGATATGTTTGCAAAGGGAAGACAAACAATTAACAAGCAAGGAATCAAGTAAAAAACTAAAAGTCAATGAAAAGTTTTCTTAAATCTCTCCAAAGACTAAGAAATGTGACATCCTCAGGAGAAGAGTGCAGAGGAATGACAAGGTTACATTTTAGGAGTATCTAATGAATAAATCCTTAAATCTACATTGTTTTTCATTGCTGTAAGATACAAACTCACTGGGTGAAATCGGAGCACCACATAAATCATTTTTACACCCCAATTAAAATAACATGCAGCCCACTGCATGCTCTGCCCCTCCCCTCCCCACAATGGGTTATACCAATTTTAACCTGAGCGAGGGGACTAAGGGATGCCTATAAAGCAAGCTCCTGAAATCTCTCGAGCTCCCTCTCTATATTTATACTGTTATCTATTTGTAGATTTGTACTATTCTCATCTCACATTTGTTTATCTATCGATTAAAATCTATCCAGCCAGCTAAGCCTTCTTTGTTAAATATCCTCCTTTTGCTGTCAGTTTTAAGCTATGTTAGTAACAAGGGTAGGATATGCAGCAGGTGACCTTAAATAATGTATAGAAGTTAAAACAATCCTGCAGAAAAAGCAGAAACATGATCATTTCCAAAGAAAGTAGGTGTTCATCCTCCCGTGTCCCTGGCTGCCTTCTGTCCTCCATCCAGACTCCTCCTGTCCATGCGCCACATGCAGCTCAGCGAAGACAGCACGGCCGTCAATCAGAAGCGATCGCTCGGTGTTGCCGCGGACGGCACCATGTGGATCGACCACCTGGCCCAGTACGCCCAGCTCCTGCTCAGCCATCCCAAAAACGTCCAAAAGGTCCAACCATTCAGTGCCGAGCAGAAACAGGCCTGGGAGGGGTAGGACAAAGCAGAAGTTTGCAGTTTTAACATGTCTGGTGTCTTAACAGGTTAAGGAAAATGTTTGGTTTGTTTGTCGGCAGCATGCTGGAGTCTGTGGCAAATATGAAGAAAAAGTCCAAAAAAGGCTGGACAGCAGAAAGCGGAGCGTTCCAGCAGCTCTTCCTGCTGGTCGGCATGCACCTCTTCAAGGTCATAGCAGCTGGTGGATGCTCACTGCAGCTTTGCTCTGAATTGAGTCCAGATGTTTTATTCAAAGTTTTCTGTCCTACAGGCTCCAGATGAGCTGCTGGACATTATGAAGGACCTGCAGAGCTGCATGGACAAAGCCCAGGAAAAAAAGACCAAGAAGAAGAAACAACAAGGTGAGGCTTTGTAACTGATGCTTTTTTTTTTTTTCGTCAGCTGTGTCCATTAAGTAAAGATACTTAAAGGTATAGTGGAGGATGTTTTTTTTTCCTCTGGATGGATCATCTAAATAAGTGGTCCTCCTAATTGTCAATCATTCTGGTGATATTTTTACATAAGGCCATCCTACGTGCTCGTCATTTTCACTTACCAATGGTGAGTCTGACATAGTGGAAAAATTGCAAATCATCTTTTAGAAAGTATGCTTGTATAAATGATGCAAACAGCAACTTTCAACCAAAGCGTGCCCGAGGAGAAATGCGCTGTCGCATCGTTTAATAGGCGTTCCGTCTCGGGAGCGGGAAAAAGTTGTTCTTGTTAATTTTTTTAAGTGGAGAGGGTGGGTCTTTTCAAAAATTCAAGGAAATTCTCCACTATACCTTTATGTGAAAGGATGTAACTATACTGTAACATGAATGTCCTGCAACCACAGAGCAGCCAGAGGAGCCAGAGTGGGTGGAGGTGATGGTGGACATTCTGCTGTCCCTGCTGTCCCAGCAGAGCCGACACATCAGGAAGGTCTGCAGGACGGTCTTCGCCTCCATCTGCCCCCATGTCACTGCAGCAGCCCTCACCGCCATCTTGGATGTGAGTGATGACTCCATACTGCATCTTAAACACTAAATATGAAGGAATAAACACATGGTTTGAGTAATTTAACATTTTGTTTTGGATATTCCTTTCCATCACTCCTAGCTGAAGGCATACTATTTTTTTTTTATTTGTCAATTGTTTTTTTGTTTGTTTGAAGTAATGGTGTCTCTAAATTGTGTAAAACTATTACCAGAGTCACCAAGGCTGTATTTTCTGGACCAAAAACAAAGCCTCGTTGCTCCACTCTATAAAGCTTCGAACTCAATGTTATTTCAGACATCTTGAAAAAGCTTCTTGGATGGGAAATGAAACATCTTCAAACTTTGAAACAACATCCGGTTGATTGTTTTCTAACTTTTTTGAATCACTATGACCTGGATTACTGAGAATCTTCAGCAGCATTAGGCTAATGTCATTTCAGTCACTAGCTTAATGGGACCAGCAAGGTCTGGTAGGCTGATTGAAGTCATAAAAGATGGTGTGCACAGAGGCTTAAGACTTTTTCTTCTTTTTTTTTAAACTGTTGTTTGGCAGCCCTGGAGTTTACCGAACCCAACAAATCAATATTTTTACATTTGTATCAAGAATTGTTTTATTGCAGTATCACGTTTCACCACTAGATGTCTACTTTCTCCTAGTCAAAACGGTGGCATAAAGTTTATTTCTGATTAGGAAAAACCTGATCACCTGTGTTTGTGAAAACATTTTGGACGATTATCTCACAGGTCTTGGACCCAGACAAGGAGGACGAGGAAGACGGTGCTGTAATCGTCACTGATGATGGAGACAAAACACAAAAGGATGATGAGGATGATGATGATGTGGAGGAAGAGGAGGAGGAGGAGGAAGAAGATGAAGATATGGAGGTTACAGACGATCTGTCTTTACATTTTAATTTGTAGTGAAAATTTTAGATGCTTTTTTAAAAATAATGTTTGTTTTCAGGATGACGAGTCAGAAGATGATTCTGATGAGGAGGAAGCGATGGAGGACGATGAAGATGGTGAAGAGATGGAGGAGGGAGAAGTGGATCAAAATTTCCGCCTGGAGCTGATGAAGGTTCTTCAGCAAAAGAATGCTCTGGTGTGTGATCCGCTCAGCGGCTCCTGGTTCCACTCTACCATAAATAAAGAGTTTGAACTGTGGCCTCTAAAGCAATTAGCTTGTTTTAGTAATGATATACCGGCTTGTCTAGGCTACTGAGGAGGACGCCAGCAGTGATGAAGACCTGGATGATGATGCCATGATGAAGCTGGATCAGAGCCTGTCAGCGCTGTTCTCTGAGCAGAAGAAGAAGATTCAGGCAAAGAGAGATGAGAAGACAAATTTCCAGAAGGAACGGGCTCTGGTCCGAGACTTTAAGATAAAGGTGACTGACATCCAGGGGTCAATAAACTATGCCTCGGCAGCCTGGTAGAAGTTCACTAAGAAGTAAAAACATGTCTTTATTAGTTTTAACTTGTCATTTTCAGGTGTTGGACCTCATTGAGGTGTTTGTGGCCCGGCAGGCCCGCAGCCCCCTCATTCTAGGATTAGTGGAGCCTCTGCTCAACATCGTCGACAGAGGAATGAGCTCTGGGAGCGACCAGCAGGAGCAGGACTTCCTCAGGAGGGCCGCAGATATCTTAGAGTAGGAATCAACTCACCCTTTTTAACCATATGTCTGTTTTCTCCTTCTGTTTACTTTCTTTTATTTTTTACATTTAGTTGTTTAAAGGTTTTACTTTATAAATGATCTGTTTTCCATTGGTCTAAATTCAACCACGCTGTAGTTCAGTTCATGCAAATGTCAAAGGCTGTTTATAGGATTCGAAGGATATGTTTGAAATCCTTCCTTGCATTTCTCCATCCATTCTTTTATCCAGGTCTGCATTCATCCATCCATCCATTCATTGCTCATTCATAAATACCTCCATCTTTTTACACATGTGCCCTACAAGCCATACATTCTTTAGTCTGTCCATATGTCAGTCCAGATTTTCATCTGTCCACCTGCTGTCCATCTATCCAGTCATCCACATGTCCAAAAATGTAAAAACTGAAAACCTAGATGAATGCAGATAAACATGGGTGAATTATAAAGGTAAAGATAATCAGAAAAAAAAAATATTGATTGTGACGGAAATCACAACATTAAGAATGTTGGCCTTATGAGAAGGAATTAAACATTATGATGGAAGATACGGGTTTAAAACTGGGTAGTCTTTTTTTTATGAAGAACGTTGCATTTCTTTCATAATGTTAAATTCCTAGTCCTTTTAGATCCAGATCATATTTGTTGGTCAAAGCAGTTAAAAATGGAAACATTTAAATGAAAAAGATGCACTTCCCTTAGCTTTTTTTAAAACCTTTATTAACATTTCCTTATTTTTTTTTTTTTAAAGGAACCAGCTGTGCAGGTCCAAAGTTTACTGCAGGACCGCCGGTGACAGGCAGGGGGAGCTCCACGACCTGCTGGACAAACTGATGAGTAAAGCCAAGAAGCTGTCGGACTCCTCTGTGTGTCTCTATTACTTCAGGTATGAGTTTGCGGTTTGAAGATGGGACTAAGCAGAAAATGACGCTGAACCTTCTCCCTCGCTTCTGTGTTTGTGAATGCTCCGCTAATGACGACCCCTTAAGGGGACAGCAGAGCTCACTGATAGAGACATAAAGTAGATTTTTCTACCTGATAGTGTGAATTTGTTGCTGATGTTGTGTTTCCCTTCAGCGCTTCTCTTTATGTGGTGAAAATGCTGCGTGGAGCTTTACCTGCTGAGACCAAAGAAGAGCCGACAGCTGACGGAGCAGCAGCGGCAGCAGTAAATGATGTATGTTTGCACACTTTGACCTGGTTCACGGTTTGATTTTTAGTTGCCGTGACTTTTCTCCCTCTAGGAGAGCTTAGTTTGTTGGACAGGAGGAAGAGATGCTTCTTTGTCTAACTCTATGTGAAACAGGTCACCCTTAACTCAAACAGGTTTACCTGGCAACAAGTGTTTAGGTCTGTTTCTTTATTGTCAGGAATTGCTCTAGATTTGTCCTTCATTTCTTGGCACATATATTTTTATGTAATTTGTATATACAGTTGCCTTTTTTCTAGTTTTCTTAGTCCTCCCTAAGGGAGAATAACAATACATAATTTCGTCCCATGCATATTTTATCCTGTAAGTGAGCAGAGCAGTGGAAAATGCTATGAGTCTCAGGACAGTCAGGCTACTATAAAAAAAAAAAAAAAAAAAAAAAAAAAAATTAATAAAGCAAGTATTTAAATAACAGTGTGAAGGATATTTAGAGCCCTTGTCTTACCTTTTAGATAAATAGATTTTTTAGAAATTTTAAAGCCTTTAAGGCTGAAACAATTAATTGGATTACCGGTAATCATAGTTAATCAATTATCGAAATAATCGTCAACTAATGTAGTAATCGTTAAGTGGAGACTCTAAAACATTCCTTTAGCTGACCGAGAAACCCACTTAGAGCAGTAATTATACCAAGATTGTATAAAATAAAATAAAAATTTGCATTTAAGATATAAAACTTTTTCGTCTGTGCTTGTTCCAGAACTCCAATTTTAAACATTTTAGTTTCACCTGGTTTAATTTAATAAGAAAAAAATCTTCTTTAAGGAACCTTTTGCTAGTTTTATCCCTAAAAGCAAAGCAATTGCACAATTATCACCCAGTTAGTGGATAGGCTTACAGTTTAACATGTCATAAAGTTAGAGCATACAGTCATCTCTGCTTTGGACTTTTTTTATATTTTTTACCCTACATGTTACTGTATAAAGCTTTGGTTCTGGTTATAATCCTATTTAAAGATTTTGAGATCCTTTATTGTTTCCATCATGCTGTGCATTCTTGCAAGGTTTCCAGGGACTCTGACTCAGAAACAGCCCAACAGCATCACACATCCTCCACCATATTTAACAGTCTAAATAAAAAGGTGTTACCCACCTAACCCAGCTGTTAGTTACTGTTAGATTCTGCTAAGCTTCACGTTTACATTTGGGAAGGTGGTGAAGGAAAAGGCGTCAGTTCATCTTGCTGTCATTAAGATGCTATTATTTGCTAAAGTTCTCCAACCAGGAAATGTCAGCGTGTCTCTTAACCTCTGCTGACGGGGGTGTTTATCTTTTAAGATCAACTCATCCAGCCTCATATTTCTCAACATGCTCTGGATGTAGATTAGTTTTGCGAATATCTGTTTTCTTGGAGCTACTTGGCGAATTTCATTTACTTAAATAACATGTTTTATTGTCTTAAACAGTTTTAAGGGCAGCTCATAAAGTTTGGTTTCATATTTACACCCCAAGGAAACTGAATCAGATTTATTTTACGCTGAGAAACTTGGTAATTTTACTTTATCTTTATGCGAAGCAGTCTGGAGCTACTGGTGATTTTATAGAAACACATTCATTCTTAAAATGACTTTTCTTTATTCCGCCATTGGATAAATGTACCCTTCCTAAATCTTTGGTGTAATTATGCAAATGTAATAAAAGAATAATTTGTTTTAGGCTTATACGCATTTTATCTGGAGTGGAGGCAATAAATGTGGCGAATGCTTTATATAACTAACTGATTTTTATTTCATTTTTTAGTCTCAACTCAATATAAACTTTATTATTGAGAATGGAAATATAGTTTAATACACAGAGCTCCCCCACTCTCTTACAAACACACACACACATTTTCAGAGTGAATTCACACCTGAAGGATGAAGCTGTTGTCAGATGTTTTCAAAAAGTGTTTGAAAATAATTGAAAAGAATCTCATGAATTAAGACCCAGACATCTTTCAAGCGTTAAAAGAAAAATGATCTATTGTTTAGAGATGGTTTATTATAAGTCGTAGCTGTCAGCTTTTATTTTCAAAGGTTTTGAAGTAAACTGCTTCCACAATAAAGCAGATGTGAAAGTATTTTTATTATTAGATAATTAACATTTAACTAGATTTTTTTTCCTTTAAAATAAAGTGGCTGCATTATTCAGGAATATTTTCAGAAAGTTGATTTCTTTTCAAAAAGCAAAAGCCCTCTGGACTATTTACACCCAGAATATACTTTTCTATTCATTTTATGTCTTGGCCATATAACCAAAACGATACAAAATGATAAAGACTTGTCAAGGAGATGGTCATTTGAACCTTTTAATGAGGATGCAAGTTTTAGTATTCTTGGAAAGTTTAGTGAAAGGAAAAAGAAATTGTTTTGGGAACAGAGTTTGTATCCATGACACGAACTTGGGTGTTTAACCTCCTAGGGAGAGTTTAGTGGTCTGAATTTATCTTTAAGATTAAATTAAATGTTCTATTGGGGGGAAAATGTTCTCCGTCTGGAAGCTTTTTAATGATCTTGGAATTTGTTGAGAGTCACCTGCAGCTCAGGGAATCTGCACAGATTTTGCTAAACATCTGCTACACCGAAAAATCTCATTTACAGGCAAGAACAGGTTTGAAAGGGAAGACGTTTCAGTGACAGAAACAAGATGGTTAGTGTACAGCAGAGAAACAGAGCAGAGCAGCACATCTGATGGTTTTTTTTTTTCCTGCTGTCATTTTATCTCGTTATAAGAGAGAAGTAAGCCAGCAGGAGGAATTTCAGGACTCAAAAGCTGTAAAAAATGAATATAACATGTCTTCATTTGAAGTATTTTGGGGGGTTTTTCTACCAAGTTGTCAGAAAGGAAGTCTGAATCCTTATAGTTGTTTCATCTTATGTTTGACTACAGCCGAAGTTTATGGGGAATGTGGATGTGGATCGAGTGTCGAGCCTCTTCAGAGAGGCGCTGGTCTCCTTTATGAGCAGAAGGAAAAGCCCACTGACCTCTCAGATGTTCTCTGACCTGTTCACCAGATTCCCCGTAAGTCCATGCGTAGATCTGTAGTCGCCATCGATTAATGACCTCTGATATCGATGATCTATAGGTTTTATGTCTGAGCCATCTGTAATCATTTCTGCAGGTATTATGTGTGAATCTCTTGGATACAGCTGTGCAGCACATCACCGCAGGAGTCCGAGAGCATCAGCAGGTAAAATACTTCCACCGTATGTCTCCAAGCAGGAAGTGAGAGAAGCTGATCATTGATACAGTATGAACCCGCTAAAAGTGTTCCTTCCTGTTTCACATATAGAGCTGAATTCATTCAACAAATGTGATCACAAGAAAGATAGCTCTGCAGGGTAATTAAACATTTAGGCTCATCAATCATTGTACAATATGGCTGTAACCTTTAGAGGACAATTCAGTAATTATCCCACTAAAACACTAGTCTATAAATGTTTGTTTTGGCTTTGCAGATTGGTAAAGAGCAGCTGCATCTCTTAGCAAGGGTTTACACTTTGACCTTTTTGTTCAACTATTGTAGAGGTGCTTCCACCTCACAGCGTTCCTAAAATGTTTCACAATGAATTTCAACATTTTTCCGTGCCAAACTGGCAGGGGTGTCTATTCCAACTGTTTAAAGAATAAAATAATTTTGTGACGGGATTCTGTTTCTTTGTTGTCAGGATCTAACCTTGCGAAGCATCTGCATTGTTCTAAGATCTGAGTTTTTAGTCTCACAACAAATCCGTTTTAGGAAAACTCCCCCTAATACGTTCATCTCATAACAACCAGCAAGTCGGACCAATGACTTGCCAGCAGTGTTTTTTAGGGCGGGACATGTAGGAATAATGACAGAAAGAAGGGCCTGGAGGACTCACCTATTGATGCCACAAGTGACTCAGTTTTAGCTAAAATAGCTACAATTTCTCATTTAAAAAAAAAGAGGACAGAGAAGCACTTTGTGCATTTGTAGATGGGAAAGATGTCTGTGTGTTTTTGTCTGTTGGTGGCTCTCATGGACGCCGAAGTCTGAAACATTACGATTCGCTGAAAGCGTATTATGGTTTGCAGGTACTAGCTGGCACCAGTGTTAATTTTGTCAGCTTTTTTTAGTTTAGTCTTAGTAACAAGAACAAAAATCAATTTCAGTCTTAGTTTCAATTTAGTCATAATAGTCTTGGCCACCACCGGCATCGATGGCATGGTCAATCATTATCATGCAGGTTGTTTTGTTGTCCTTAGTGTGTAAATGAAATGGCTCCATACATCCAGGCGTTGTTTTCACCCGGCTCCTCCAACAAACCGTACACTGGTATCCGAGCCCGACGCCATGAATGCGAAGTTGAGTTACAGGGTTTCTGCGGATCATTAAAAATCTTTAAAAGTCATTAAATTATTATTTTTTAAATTAAGGCCTTAATGGCATTAAAATTAATTTAATGTGATTATCATGGCATTTAAAATGCTTTATATAAAAAAACAAAAACATTTTGTCAAATATATCAGATTTAACTGGTTCCACGTGTTTGCACACAACTGCTCCTGGTTGATCCTAAAGACATATGTTCGGAACAGAAGCTCCAGGCACAGAAAAAGCTAGAGAATGGGAAAATGCAAATTTTAACATAAGCGGCTGGAAAACGAGAAATTCGGGACCTGGCTGCAGCCTTTCGATGGTAAAGATTACGAAGGATTTGGCCGTATATATATATATATATATATATATATATATGGCATTAAAGAAGAACGTTTAATGCTCTTTTATATATATATATATATATATATATATATATATATATATATATATATATATATATATATATATATATATATATATATATATATAAAAGAGCATTAAAAAGCATTAAATTAGAGTTCCTCCTTCTTGTATTAACCCTGAGTTAGCTACGGTTAACTACTACCCGTGATTCTAGTCGAGTATAAGGCACTGTGTGACAGGCGCTGTGTAGGGACAAAAAAGGCAACAACGCATTATCTTCTATGCAGTTCAAGAAACACTTATATTAACAAATACAAATTACACATTTTTTAATGTCCATTCGTCCATGGCTTGTAAATTTCGTTTGGTCTTAGTCACGTTAACGAAAATAATGTTTTATTCTGGTCATATTTTTATTTTTGTGCGTCATCGTCTCATCATCGTCATGGGAAAAAGGGGCGTTAAAGAAATATTTCCGTCGTCATCCTGGTTGACAACATTAACACTGGCTGGCACGTCAACCATTCAGCTCGAAGTATTGTACTAAATGTCTCTCCTTTTCACGGACAGACTGAACAGCAGCCATCCCAAACTGATAACGTAGAACTGAGCTCAGTTCTACACGTATCCATCTGGCTACTGCTAGGTTAGACTGGATCAATTGTTTAGATAGAAAGTCGAGTATTGTATTTTCTAAAAAAAAATGCAATTTTGCAAAAATGTAATCAAATTCCAGAACTTTCTAAATTATATACAAACATTTTTCCCCAATTCAAATTAAGTTATTATTTAATCATTCAAAATTAAATACAAAGACTTACGAAGTTTAACCACAACAAACCTCCCATTAAAATGTTGGCATCCATCATCAACTTTCATACAAATTGGACACTGGATGAACTTTCTTCACAATCACTTCCCTTCAATGTTTTCTTGCTGTAATATTATGGTTAGGTGTTCAAAGTTGATATTTTTTTTCCCTTTGATTCATACTGCTTGGTTCATGGGACTTATTTTGGATTTTAGGGCCAAGCTTGTGTGTTGGTGCTGCGGGCGATGCAGAACGGAGATGTGAAGAAGATCCTGAGTGCTGATGAGTGGACGCTCCTCTGTGAGAAAGTTTTGAAGCAGCTGGCTTTGGTAAGAAGAATGTTTAATCACCAGTAAAACTCTGAAGGCTAATGGTACACATGCAGTCTGGATGTCTAATGTCTGAAACCCCTCCCATCCTCAGGAAGCACTCCATTTGTCAGCTTAGTTACCAGTTTTGAATCGTTTCAGAATTAGTTGAGCCTTAATTTGCTATTATTTAGAAATGCATTTAGGTAATTCTGATTTACTGATCAGACTGCCCCTCTACTCCCCACTCCCACACTCAAATCACCAACCAGCCCTGCCTTCCCCGGTTTAAATTCTGCCTGCCTCTGCTTGTGGAACTGATTGAAAGTCTTATTCATGCACACGCGGCTGCCGCTGCGCTCCGTGGCGCCACTTTGAGCAGAAATGTTCATTCAAATGCATGCTTCAAGCCTGTTTGCGTTCTAATTACATTAATCTCAAACCTTTATGAGATTGCATGGTGCAGTGATAAATGATAATTGGAGGCTCTGCTCCTCTCGCTGTCCTCCTTGCGTCCTCCAGAGAGCAGAGGGGGAAGACATGCGTAATTACATGCTTCTGTAAATCCTCCCAGAACGGCTCCACCTTCGCTGTCTTTGCTCCTGAAATAAAACACAAGAACATAACTCTCCTGTTCTGAAAACTGCCTTCTCTGCCCTTGATTATGGATTGTTTCTGACGTGCTCATCTTGAAATGAGGGTTTATACGACTTTAAGAATAAGCCTCTTAAAACATCTAAAAGGATCTACTGAAAAACAAAAAATATAGCTATTTAAATGGAGTTCAAGATTAGAAATACAATACCACTGTATAACATAATATCTGGGCATCATGATATTGGTGTCTGATATTAAATGTGGTGCAGGAAAATATCTCTTATTCAGAAAATCTCCAATTTTTTCCTATTTGTGATCATTTTCACTATTTTCTTGTGAGATTACCATTCAGATTTTATGAAAAATAAAGGAGGATTAATATTTACTTTATTATTAGCAATACACAATAAAATAAACTTTTTGTGTGGTTGCTTCCTAGAAAATGCATTATGTACTTATTTTGTTTCATGGGTTTCTCTTTTCACACAAGAATCCATTGAAAGAATGTTTTTTTCCTTTTATTTTAATTATTGTTGTTCAGGAGTGCAGACGCTCTGCATACACATGAATGTCGAGCAAATTCAGAAAGTACTGCAAATATAAAAATGAGGTTAGCAAGCTCTGGAACCAGAACATAGACTTGACTACGAATTAATGTCTATGAAGCGCGCACAAAATGAGAAAATGTTATTACTGTCCAGAGCACATATGGAGTTGGAAAATAGACTTCCTTTGAATCTTTTTTAAACACTAACCCTCCATCTGAAATGTGCAAACTAGCTCCTTTCTGTCCCTAGCTCCTATCAGTAAACAGTAAGAATCCTATCCTGACTGCTCTGCTGAATCTGCACAGCCTTTAGCCTGCTGGACATCATTGTGCAATAGGAACAAACATGCCTACAGCCTCCAAGAAATAAAACTAGATAAAATAAAAGCTACTCAAATGTACGCAACTCTGTGAGGTGAGCTGTGCCATTTTATCCTTTAATGCACAGTAAGGGAACTGAACAACATCTGGAGGTCTCCATGCTAAATGAACTGTTGATAGCTTCCTCTTCCTACCTCCTTCCTTACTGCCAGCACTATTCAGACATCACCTTTTCTACTACTTTGGCTTAAATGTCCTCTCTCATTTGAACTGTTAAGATGGACCACTAATCTCAATAAGCATCCTGTTTCCCCCTTGGTGAGGGTCTGACCCCAGAGTTGTCTGAAACACTTCTGCTATGTGGACTAGTGTGCAGATTTTCCTAACTTGCAGTCATTTTGGCCGCTTCCAGCATTCTCCCATTGCATTTGCTTTGTTTGTTAGCATCATTCATGCATTTGCAACTTTTATTTAGAGTTAGTTTGACTTTGCTGTCTGTTTTCTGTGATCTACAGTATTTCCCTTTGTAGGTTTTTATGTGTTTTGTGAGTTTGTATGTTAGTCTGATGCTTCTATAATTGGTGCTTTTTGAATCTCCTGCATTTGAAGGACAAATCTTCAGCGTTAACATCTCCAGTCTGGAAGGTTTAATGCACCTCTGTTCTTTCGGTAACTTACCTCCATGATGGCGAAAGCTCCAGCTTGTCTTGGTCTTTTCCTCATCTGTTCTCTATCATTGACAACAAGAGACGGTAGCAAGACCCTTCAGTTATAACCCTTAGATATGAAGCACAGTTGATGGTGGCATAGTCAAAGTTCCAAGCTAGGGGCCATATTTACCAATATAGTTCCTCACAAAACTGAACTGTGTCTCTGGTGCCTGTTCACATGCAGACACTGATCAAGATAATCTCGGAAACATGTTGAAGCCCATTTCCCTTAAAATATACAGCGGATTTCCCTAAAAACAGTGTAAATGTTTTTTTGTTTTTGTTCGTTTTAATTGTCAGGGCCAATGTAAATTTAAATGTAACCCACCTGTTTTGGTTTTCTAGAGTATTGGTCAGGTTGGCCAAGCTGAGAGCAAAGTGGCCAAAGAGAAGCTGGTTATAAACCTGGAGCTCTGTCAGTTTGTTGTGAAACACGTTCGTCAACAGGTATGTGGGCTCAGGTTTTCCAATTTAATCTGGAATCCTAATTTACAAATATATATATATGTGTTAGTGCAGTCTGGACTAAGCTTTTTATCTTTCCTTTATGCGTAGAAACTGTCTGTGGATCTAGAGCCCCTGAAGAAGGTCCTACAGTCATTGATCAATAATGTCACATTCAAAAAGACTGGGAAACTGGAGGACACGTACTGGGCTGTGATGAAACATTTTGGAGTGATGTAAGTATACAAGTTTCCTAAAAAAAGTTGGGTTCACTTTATAAAACTGTAGCCAAATCATTTAATTTAAACACGACTTCACTTATGTTCTGCTACCAGGAAGCCCAAGGTTGAAAAGGCGGAGCCAGACAAGGACGGCGAGCAGGAGGCTGCTCCCAAGAAGAAGAAAGGATTTCTGCCAGAAACAAAAAAACGTAAAAAGCGAAATAAACCTGTTCTAGAACCAGCGGGAGACAAGTCCGCCTCCTCCGGCAAACCAGGGGAGCAGAAGGGACAAGCGAAAAAGAAACAGGACAAGAAGGCTAAACAGAAACGACCTGCCGATGCCGCAAACGCTGCACAGTCCAACCCGGCCAAGAAGAGCAAAACACAACCTGACAGCAAAGCTGGCAAGAAGAAGAAGAAACCCAAGCAGAAGAAAAAAGGAGGGCAAATATAAGAGGGACTATTTAAACTTGGATGGAAAGCGATCCTTTTAAACGGCCGTTTATTTTTTACTTCTTTAGCTTTGAATGTTTAATGTTTAATCAGACATACTTAAGGAAAAAAAAAAGAATATATTTGTTTGGAGATCTTTTTTTTCTAAAGACAGCTGTTGATTTAAAACAAAATGTCAGGAACAATAAAAACATATTTCTCAGCTCCTAGCTTGGCATTAATGATGAAAACAGTGATGCATCCCTTCACTAAGCTCCCTTGGCCTTGTTCACATACATCCATCCTCACTTGGATGTCTCTAAGGTAGAAAGCATCAGGATCCAATCGTGTTTATCTCCTTCAGCAGCTTTATTGGACATTTGGCCAATTCTAAGTAGCGGTGTGAATGCTAATGTGGCCCAGGACTCATTAACGAATCGCATGATTCATCCTCCTTCTAGCAGCAGCCTTTTTTTGCTCCTCTTTCACTGCCTTTCGAGTTTGACAGAGATGCAGAGGTGTGTGGTAAACTGAGCATTACATAATATGAATTATTAACGGCAGCAGGTAATGTTCTCATCTATTCACACTATACAGCTACATTTACAGCTGCAAGTTAGACGGGTTCAGTGACATTCACTCATAAATGACAAATTCAGAGCATGCCGGCAGGTAGAACATATGAACAGAACATGGACTGGTTTTCAGACCCATCGTTTACAGGGTAGGGCTTTATTTGCATTGCAGGAAAAAGTATTTTTACTTTAAATATTTCCTTTCTGGGATACAGATCATCAAACTGAATCAGGCAAATAAAACATAAGTTGAATCAGCTTTGCTTCTCTCCTTTCACAAAACTTTCCCTTAAAACCTCTTTCCTTCCGGTTAATGAGAGTCTGGCTGCAGTGATCCCAATGATTGAGTGTGCTGTAAAATAACACTTCTCTATTAATGCAGCTTTTTAAAATTATAATCCTGATTTATTTAGATTTGAAGAGAAACAGAATAACAAGCTAATAAAGAAGGCCAGCTCTGGTCTGGGAACTCCTCTAGAACCTCTGGAGATTATTTCACAAAGAATAATTCTTCATTAAGTTAAGAACATTATGGAAAACAGTGAGCCTCCTCTTCAGAAGATTTTTAAACAACAGTCTTCAGTCAGAGGCGTATCCAGATCTGGTGCAAGACAGACCGCTACAGGAGATCCTTCCTGCCAACAGCTATCAACACCTATAACATCTGGATAAAAAATGACCTATGACTCACAGCAACATATTATTTCCCTTAGGGATTAATAAAGTATTATTGAAATGCAAATAAATATTGGTAATTTGGATGATCGGAGGCATATTTAATCATTTGTTTATAATAATTTCCTATAGATCCATAAGAAACTTTTTCTGTTGTATGCCATTTAGTCCATCCATCTATTTTCCGTCATGCTTATCCCAGCTGGAGTCACGAGGGGTACCCAGAGAGAACCCACACATGCACAGGGAGATCATGCACAAAGACCCCGGCCTGGAATCAAACACAGAACCTATTTGCAGCAAGGCAGCAGTGCTACCCACTGCTTCACTGTGCAGCCCCATTCAGTATAAAATTCAATACTTTCATAAAAGAATTGTAGACAAGACAAAAACCAACTCAAGAACATAGGAGTTCAAACACATTATGACCCCTGAGAGGATTTTTGTGTTTCAATGAATAATGCACAAATTTTTCTGATTAAAATATGTAATTTATAAGTGAATTGTTTAGTTTTATGGTTGAAATTTAATACAGAGTCACCTTTCTGCTCCACATGCTCAGACAGAAACAACTATGCCTGTGTTACATAACTAAGCAGGAAAAATATCCCTGGCCTTTGTGGCAGACTGGATGTTGCGAGGCCTTTGTGCTATAAACAAAGGTAAGCAATCACACAGAACCCTAATTCTGCTGTCAGGAAAATGATGCAGTGTCCCCCCAAATGGATTACTATACAGGACATGAAGTCGTGCAGCCATAAATCTGCAGGAGTGTTAGCAGGCAGCCACCTCATCCATCAGTAATCTCATCTTTAAGCTCCTCTCTGCACTGCAGGGCCCAAAGGAGGAGGCTAACGACGGCGGCCAGTGTGCATTACTGTTTGCTGGTTGTTTGCACATTCAAACTGCTGTGTGTCTTAAGCTCCCACTGACTGGAATATGCACAAAGATCACCGCAGGGTGGAAACCATAAATCAATACACATCATCAGTTTGTAAGAAGGCTAAAAGGAGCTAAAGGCTGCAAATTTTTCTTCCGCACATTAGTGACAGAAATTCAGAGTATGAATCAATTATACATTTATTTAATGACTGTTTTAATCCAAACTTTTGTCAAGAACAATTTACATGTTGACTTGAATTTAAAATAACTCCCACTGGCAAAAATCCACCACCGTCATACAGTTATTTTGTTTTTTTATATTATTTCAACCATTTGGAACAATATTGCTTTTTTTCTCCAGGGGTCTACTTAACCCTTTTACTAATGATGAAATATAGCATCAGTTCAGTTGATCACAAGCAGCAAACTATAACATGTTTCATCTGGAGATACAGAGGCACTTTATATCATTTTATGTGTAAATAATTGTGTACCTGTAACCTGTGGTGACAGGATTTCTTTTTCCCTCAGTCCTTTGTGTATTTAGCCCTACTGTACATTTAGAAGAAAAACAGAGATGATTAACCTGACCTTCAGAAAAAAACAACACACACTAACAGGAAGAGGGAAGATAGCCAGGCAATTCTAATCTAATACACTGATTAAATGATAATTTTACACAAGCCTGCTTTTGTGTGACCTTTAATCTTATGGAGTGATTGTTTGTTGGTGCAAAGATCCTAAGACACAGTGAGTTTAGCTTTAAGGCTCATTCCAAGCTATATAAAGTCCACAATTTTAAAGTGAGAAACATTATTTACTAGTAGGTAACATTTAAAACAACAACCATCCATCCATCCATCCATTCTCTGTCAAGCTTATCCCTACTGGGCCCGCAAGGGGTGCTGTTGCCTATCTCCAGCTGTCTATGGGCAAGAGGTGGGGTACACCCTGGACAGGTCGCCAGTCCAATAAAGGGCAACAAAGAGACAAACAGGACACACAACCATTCATGCACACACTCACACCAAAGGAGAATTGAGAGAAGCGAATTAACCTAACAATAATGTTTTTAGACTGTGGGAAGAAGCCAGAGTACCCGGAGAGAACCCACGCATGCACAGGGAGAACATGCAAACGCCATGCAGAAAGAGTTAAAATCATACTTTCCTGCAAGGCAGCAGTGCTACCCATTTTCCTACTGTGCAGCCGTGTTCATTGAAAATTAGATGTTATTCTTACTTCAGTTTCTTTAATGGGACATTTCAATATGGAGTGCTTCATTTTGTGATTTAATGGAGAATTTAAATCATGCATTGAAAAAAAAAAGATAAATTTACTTAGTATTTCTATACATATTTTGTACCTCCAATTAAGGGAACACATAAAAAATAATTGTGAAAACCATCTTGCACCCCCTCTTGGTGTCTAGTTGACCTTCCTGCTGGTCCCAACTCCCAGTTTGAGAACCCCTGCTTTACATGTGTCACCTAAAGCTGGTTTTGATAGCTCTTTTTCATTGAATGAATCAAATCCTCATATAATATTCTTTGCATTTATCCAAGTTGTCTCATATTGACCAAAGTGTGATATATAGAAACATTTACAAGTGACAGAAAAGCCAAACCAGGAGACATCTATGAAACAGGTTTGAACCTTCCTTAACTCAGGCCATTCCTTCTGTTCCCTACAGCTAAAGCACTTTCATGGATTTTTTGGTACTGTACCCTTGAAGTCACAGCTTGAAGCCACAGTAATGAAGCATATAAAGTGGGTCTCCCGATGACAAATTGTTCTCCTCGAACCCTGACAGCAGGGGTGAGAATGGGAGCAGCGCTGTGTTCCCCTCCTGACAGTGAACTGACACTATTCATTGCTGTGAGCAGAGATACGGAGCACAGAACCAATCTGCTAATGCAGCTCAACCGAATAATCGCAGCAAGTTGCAAACTCTGAGTGGGGTGAAGAGGGGGGGGGGTTACTGCGACTCATCAGTATGAGAAAGATGCAACTGAACGCAAGTCTGATTCATCCCCTCACCTTGAGAAATGTTTTCATCTTCATGGATTCATGCTGTAAAGCACAGGCTGATTTTTTCCAATAAATGATGCAGCTCACTGTGAAGTATTTATTTTTGCAGCCTTATTTTCTCTTCCTCTTCGTCTTCTTCATCTGTCCCTGTGCTGCTCTTATTAAAGTGTCCCCTTTGGAATCTGCTGCTCCTCAGCAGATAGGTTGGCAGGTTGCACACAGAATGTTAGTTTAACGACTGTTTCAGATGGAATCCTATTAATTAGCACCCTCAGTGATTTATTTACCAGGCCTCGTGGGAGCAATCAGCTCAGAGCTGAGCCACTTCTTGAAGGAAGTCCAGACGAATGTGCTAATTACTACACTGATTGTCACACCTCACCTTACATGGCTCCAAACTCATTTTTAAAAATGCCGGATCTGTTTAGAAAAACTCATTTTGTGTCCTTTCCATCTAAAAGTGTTTTTATTATTATTAATTTTTAAGTAAGTAGCACTTATTCCGTATATTCACTCTTTTGCTTTCTTATATTAGCCTGACGTAGTCCGACTCAATTCTAGTCAGAATATGAAACCTTGTGGGCGGGACTAAGTTCGGACTGGCACCCAGGCTATTCTTATATGCAAAGAAGTCTCTAAAAAGTACGTTTTTATTAAATCGAGGAAGTTTAAGCTTTAATTAACACGTATTCTGTAACAATATTAAAGAACATTATTCTTTATTAACCATTTAGCCTCAGAATTGGCCCAAAAAACCTCATGTAAATTCAAACCTAAGTGTTTAAAAATAAATTGGGACATCATATAAGAACAAACACTAATTTGACCAAAAAGGCCAGTAATTGTCTTAGGATTTAGAAATACTTTCCTTCTTTTATTTCTTTTTTAAATTTTAGTTTTTTTTTGTGTGTGTGACTTGCTTTGCCAATTACAAACCTCAGTTTCCCCACTGTGGGACAATAAAGAATATCTCTAT